GGGGGGGGCTATTTATCGGCAGCAATCGCTGGATATGCGGCCGACTTCTGACTCTTGACTTGCATGCATGGATACAGCCTACCCCATGGATGAGTGCAGTGGAGACGTGAGAGGGAGGAGAGGGGAAAGCAACAGCTGGGTTTGTTCAGTGAGTGAGCGACAGATTGTATGTATCTATCTATCTATTTATCTGCGTGAGTGTGCGTCAGCGGGATGCCGTCCAGCCAGCTGGTCTGGCGATTGGTGAGGCCATCCGATCCATTCGAACTGAAGAGCACGGAAGCAGCAAGACAGCAAGACACTTAAGTCAGTCAGTCAGTCGCTTTGTGTGTATGGGAGAAGCGCATTCGTCCATTCGCCATGAGTCCATCTTGTGTGTGGATGAATGCATGAATCAAGTGCGTGGGTGGTCGGGCTGGCTATTTCTCTGTCTGGGTTTTGCTCGCTCTCTGTCTCTGTGTGTGTGTCCCCACACATGGATGCATGGCACCGATGGATGGACGGATGTGATGTCTGTCTGCACGTATGTCGTGTGGAATGAATGCAGCAGGTCGGTGGGGGAGGGCCGGGATGCATTGCATGTGTGTATGCCCCAATACATGCATGCATGTGCGCCTCAGTTCGTGGGTGGATGGATGGATGGCCGCGTCGCCAAATAGGACAGCAGAATCAACCCATGGGAATCAACCTGATTGCTTGCATTCGTTACTCTACCCACAATGTGTCACACGCCAGCTTCTCAACCGCCTATATTTGTCACGTCGATTTAGACGGCAGCTTCTTGGAGGCGATCGTGGCGAGCTTAGAAGATGTCATTCCCAGAGGCTCCACCACGATCGCCAGAGGCTGATCATTGCCAGATCTGTTCACAGCAGCGAAGCCCCACTGAGACCCGCTGAGCCTCACCGCGAAAACACGGCCCCTCAGGTCAGTCAAGAGGTCAAAGTACTTGATGAATCATCCTCAGGCCGTCCTTGTGTCGCGTGTGAATGCGCATGCAGGATGAAGGGTGACGTGAGGTTTCACCTGAAGCTCCTCTTTGCTTCCCTCGTCACGCTGGGCTTCGTCGCATATGCAGCCGTCCTCGCCGGCTTCTTCTTTGTCATACAAAACGAGGTACAGTACGTCAGATGCATCAGCACTTGCACTAAGGAACACATGACTGAACCATTTGGTTGTCTGTGGTTGTCTGTTGTGTCTGTCTGTGCAGGTGATCAGGGAGTCCGAGACGGCCCTGGAGAAGCAGATGGAATCGTCGAGTGACTGGGTCCTGGGCGAGGCACTGCTCAGCTTCTCCAGCGAGATTGAGCAGGGCGTGAGAGGGCTGCTGCAGCCATCTATGAGGGCGATACAGGAGAATTTCCGGGCGGGCAGCCTCTCATTTGGGCCTACGCAGCCATATGCTGACCACTTGTCTACGAAGATAGAAGGATTGACAGAGTACTCTCTGCCGCGTTGTCATTCCCTTCTCTCAGGGTTGCTGATCTGCGGCCGCCTCTGTCAGGTGTCAACGACTTCGACGACCCCTGGCTGCCTCCCAGAAGGCACCAGGATGCCACCATCTCGCTCGGTGTGTGAATCACAAACGAATGGATATGCATATCCGCATCAGTAGGTGACGGCGTGTGCCACTGCAGGTGCCGCGAGCATATATTTCCACGGCTATCGGAAGGACGGGAGCAACGTATACAGCATCCTGTCGGGCAACAGCTTCATCGTGAGCCGCACCTGGGCCATCGACCTGCTGGCCCGGGTGCCCTGGGAGGCACACCCTCTCTTCCTCGACGCATACGTCGCCACAGATCAGGACATGATCAGGTAGGTGCAGGCCAGTATTACACACAGGCACAGCGCTGTGGTTTCTTGATGGCTGACTGACTCACTCTCTTTCTCTTTCTCTTTTTCCACGACCGGTCAGGAAATATCCCGGTCGATACGACACATGGACGGGTTGATTGCCTCCTGTCAAGTACATCTGGTTGTGTGTACAGGCATCTCGACGTTGGCGGACGACAAGTGTCGGTCGGGGTGTGAGTGCGATTGGGAGCGGTGCTATATCCCCACCAGCCGCCCATGGTATGTATACATGCATGCGTCTGTCTGCCTGCGGTCTCTCTGTGTGTACTGGCCTGTGACAGAGGAAGCAGTGTATGTGTGCTGGCTGGGGCAGGTATACTACGGCCAGGAGCGGCCAAGGGACGGTGCAGCACACTAATCCCTACAACGAAACCTTTTCGAAGACCTGGATGATCACGTTAAACCAAGGCATGCGCTAACTAACTCACGGACCCGGCATATCGACACATGGTATGAGTGCAGGCTTCTATCAGCTCGGCTCCTTTCCGTCGCTCTATCCAGAGTTCATAGGCGTGGCCGCCAGCCACATGTACATCGCCTCGCTCAAGTCGCTCGTCGAGAAGATCAAAGCCCGCGGAGGTGAAGCCCATCTGTACAACCTCCCCCTCTACAATATAGGTATGTCTCCGTCTCCGTCTCCGCCTCTGTCTCAGCCCACATGTGCATACACCCCTCAGCCTTTCTCCCTGCTCCCCAGGTAATTCTGGCGCCTATGTGGAAGGCGGCTACGTGATCGCGTCGCCACAATTCGCTCTCGACCGCCCAACGCCTCTGCGCGTCACCGATCTCTCCTTCGAAGGCAGCTCGTTCCAGATCCAGCCTTCGTCTGACCTGCTGCAGGCCGAGCACTGGGAAAGCAGCACCAGGGGCACATCTGGACTGATCAAGGACAGCAACAAGGAGGTGTTCATCTTCTACAAGAAACCTGGGAGAGAGTCGATGGGGTACGGCGAGACGAGCGACGGAACTTCGTGGAGCGGTGTGAACGGACGTTACGGCATGATGCTGGCCATCCCTGCCAACGCCCTCTATGACCCCATCGACGGGCAGAAAGAAGACATCCTCAGCTCTGTCTTGATTATCTACTTCGTGTCGCTCATCGTGGCGATTGTGTTCTGTGTTGGGATCGTGTTGCTGTACATCCCACTGGCCAAGCGGATTGCTGTGCCGCTGGAGTACGTGGCCAATGAGGCAGAGAAGATCACCAACAACCTGGGCGGAGACCTCTTCAGGCAAGAAAGAAGAATAGAGACATGCAGAGGAACACACACATAAGGTCGGCCACATTGTGACCAAATGGTGTGCAGGGGTGTGAATTTGTCTGAGGCCGTAGATGCGTCCTTTACGGTTCTGGAGGTCACAGTGCTCAGGGGCCGCTTCAGACACATGCTCATGCTGATCAAACAGAAAAGACAACAGGTGGGTGCGAAGAGACGCGCCAACGGAACACATGTGAACGTGTCTCTCTCTGTTTTGTTTAGGCGCAGCACGGCCCCACGACCCTGCCAAATGCCTTCATCTATCATGGCGGCAAGTACCCATGGATGGCGGCCTCTAGTGCTGGCGACAGCGCAGAGACAGCGGCCGACAAATACTACCCCGACCAACTTCTCGTAAGTAAGCACATGACCTCCATTGACACGCTGTCTTTCTCATTTCCACACACTCGAGTGTGTGTGAGTGCAGCGTCTGGAGCATCTCATGTCTGAAGCCCAGCAGAAGTCCGCTCCCCCACCGTATGCGGCGGCTGGTGGGCCGACGGTCATCACGATCCAGGAGGGCGGCGGGCAGACATCCATCGCCGTCACACAACAGCAACATGCACAACCACCAGCCACAGCACCACCACCGCCCTCAGCACAGCAGCAGCCAGCTGTCCAACAGGGCAAGGCCCAGGCAACGGGATTCGTGACTGACGCCGGGCAAAGCTCTTTGTGTGTGCAGGTGTGCCCCAGGGCAATGTGGTGGCGCCTTCAGCGCCCGATGCTCCTGCTGCTGACGTCCAATCACCATCGGTCCCCTTTTATGCAGGCATCAGGCGCCACTGGTGGAAAAGGATGTGGGTGCAGGTCTGCAGACACACGGAGAGGGACACGGCTGGCATGTTGCGGTCGGCTTTGCTTGATCGGATTCCTTTAGTTGGTGTTATTCTTGGCGCTCCCACTGCTGGTAGTCGGCGTGTGCATCGCGGTAATAGGCTTCCTCTGGTATCAGACTACTGCTCTCTCGTGGATCGACCCGCTCAAGTAACCAACCCTACACACCTGCGAGGCGTCTGGTGAGTACGAAGGCATTGTTATCTTGGTGTGTGTGTGTCAGGTCGGTGATGATAGACGAGACGGTCAAGACGCTGGAGGGAATCACGGAGGACAGGGCCCAGTCCACCGCCAACATGATCAACGTGGCCGTTGGCGCCCTCCTGCAGACAAAACTGTCCAGTAAGCCCACTCACACCAACACAAACATACAAGTTTGTCTGTCTCCCTTTCTACCTGTCTGTCTATGTGCCCGTCTGCCCTATATATAGGTGAGAGGTTTTTGTCGGAAAACACAATCAACGAAACCGACTTCAGTGTGACGCTGGGCACCGACCTTATGGTAAGCTACCTGTCAGGTGTGACGTCCTACATCGAACCCAAGGCCTACTACCCAACCCCATACACTGGCAACACCAGGCTGCGCATACTGTCAGGCACGTTCCAAGAATGGATAGAATCGACATCCCCATGGATACATATCTGTCTCTGTCTCTCTGTCCCTTCGTGCATGTATCATCAGCCGGCAGCATGAGCACGTCCGGTTCCAGGTTGACCAACTCTGCCGGTGGTACAGTGCCCGCCTACACCGACAGCAGTGTGGTCTTCTTCCGGTCGCAGCCGTTCCCCCTCCATCCCATCATCGACTGGCGGATCGACATTACCTCACACATGGACACCATCTTCAAGAGCATCTACCACTCCGCGCCTATCAATGCTGTCTTCCTGGCGCTACAGGCCACCACGGCCGCCCCCCTCCAGCTGTTCCGATATTACCCGTATTACGACACTTTTCAAGGATTGGCTGATCGGTCAATGACGTGTTATGATGGGTCGCAAGAGAACGGCTACCGGCCGGAGTGTTTCTCCTGGTACAGACGGGCGGTTGCATCCTCCGGGCAGGTGGTGTTCAATCCGGCTGAATACGACCAAATACAGCAACAGCAAAGCGTAAGCTCAACGACCAGACCGCACACACCCACGACGAGAGGGAGGACAACACCGTCTGTCGTGTCAGGTGATATTGTCGGCGAGCATCCATCATTGAGACACAGCAGAGCTGCTGGGTGTGGTGGGCGTGTCCCTCGACATCGCCGAGCTCGAGGACCGCTGGAGCAAAGAGGACATGAAGTACTTTGACAGCACCAAGAGGTACCCCTTCCTCCTCGACGACAGCAACAACGCCCTCATCCACCCTGACTCACAATTCACCCGCAAGATCGCAAACACATCCTCCCTCAGCCAGCTAGAGCCCTCTGTGCCATCCTCTGTGCTGACATCGCTATCTAATGCCGAGATGCGCACCACCAAAGTCACCAAAGGCGGCGAGAGATGGTATGTGAGCTATCTCCGACTGGAGATGACCGTGGCCAGCAGTGTGGTGGGGACGGCCAGCAGGTGGGCGTGCTGCTGTACGTATCAGATCTATCTGGCATGAGAGTTGAGGCTATCTATATGCTGTCTGTATGCGACGCAGGATCGACGTGAGCACCAACACGGGCAAGAGGCGGAGCTACACGCCGTATAGGATCGGGTGGATGGTGAAGGAGCAGCTGATGAGCCAGGAGGCCGACGACCTCTCTGACAGCCTGTTGGCTCTCCTGCGGCGGATGCTGACGATGGCCATGATTGTGTGCATTGTGGTGGCGCTGCTGATCGGCGTCATCGCCACACTCGCCGCCCTCCTCTTCGTCGCCCCGATTGTTCGGCTGGGCGACTACATGCACACGGCAGAGGACAATAACTACACGCAAGACCTCGCCCCATACCAACAAAACAGCCTTTTCATGGTCGGTCAATGAGTCGATTCCCCGATGGAATGAGCTCCCCTCCCGATGATTCCCTCTCTGCGTGTGTATGATGTCTCTCAGGTGCATGAATTTGCCCGCCTGTTGTCGACCGTCGAGGATCTGATAGTGGCGCTGCGGTTCGGCAACCAGCAGTGGTCCAAGGGGTCTGCGAGCAAGGATTTGGCCAACTACCAGAGGGCTATGAGGATCGTGCAGCGGACCGGCAACATGAGGGGCCAGGGGGTGTGCCACGACAACCTGGCCCTGACACTGATACGGACGCAGGACCACAAAGACCCCCAGAGCGGCAAGACGGCCCTCGAGCTCATGAATGAGGCGCTGCAGTTCGCGTACCAGCACATCATTGTAAGTAACCACAGACACAGAGGTCGCCAGGCATCTATCTGCGTGTGGGGGGGTTTTCGTTCAATGAGCAGCACACCCAGCAGGAGGGTGACCACAGCAGCCACATCGACGCGCTTGACAGTCAGGGCAAGCGGCTGCTGGGCAAAGCCAGGATACTGATGTCCACGGGCAAACAAGACAGCATCAAGGAGGCCATGCAATGCGCCGAGCAGGCCATCGACAAATTCGTGGAGACGGGACATATCCACCACGTCGTAAGCCACGCAGCCCCACCAACCAGCGGACAAGAGAGAGGTTTTCATGACAGGGTGTACGTGTTTGATCAGTCAGATGCGTTAGACCTCTTTCGGTCGGACATTGAGAGTCTGGCTGCGGTCACTGTAAGCGGCGATTGGCATCCGCTGCGTTCGCTGCAGCCGCTGCTGCAGCGAGTCATGCTCCTAATCGACACACACCTACAAGTAGGAGCAAGACTGAAGAGAGACACACATGAATGGTGTTTTCCTTTGCTTTCTGTGCGTGTGTGCAGAAAGCCGCCCCCGGGTGTGTGTCTCCGACAAATGTGTCGGGCCTGTGGGAGCTGGTCGCTGACGCCGCCCTCACGTACCGTACTGCACGCACACAGCCAGCCACGCCGACGTGCAACAAATGTGTGTGTTGACGTGGGTGCAGGCTGTGTGCGGTGGAGTGGTTTCTGTATCTGAATGGCATGGCGGCTGAGGAGGGACAGACACCGGAATGCCTCAAATACGTATGCTGGTCAGTCCGTCGACACAGATAAAGGGAGGGGAAGGAGAGAGACATCCCTGCCCATCTCCCTCTCTCTCTCTCCCTCTCTCTCTGTGTGTCAGGATTGTTGCCCGCTGTCCTGTGCTGAAGCTGACGACTTTGCTAGAGACCTCTGCTGCTCTCAAGGCACTATACCAACCACTCTGTATGCAATGGGCGGAAGCAGCCCAGCCCATTTGCAGTCACATGGATACGGACATGCCTTTCTGTCACCTGACCTGCCAGGCCCCACTGACGGTTCGTGGCACCGGACAAGTGAGGACATCGACACATTCGTCGACTCGGGCATCGCACTGGTCAAACAAAGGTAAGCAGGGGGGTACGTAGCTCCCTCCCTCCCTCCCTCTTCCTCTCCCTCTCCTCTCTGCGCAGACAGACACATGCTTACATACACACACAGACATTCATGGATATATGTCGCAATTGGTATGCCGTGTGCAGGGGTGGGGCTTTCGTCGAGCAAGCAGGCGTCAGGGAGCAGGCGAGGAAAGACCTCTCCACCTGGAAGTATGGGCCGTACACACTGCAGATCACCAAGCACCGGCCGCCACCCAGCATCGACACCAGCAGCGGGGGGGATCTCAGGGGCGCCCTCAGTCGCCTCTCGGCTGCCGATCGCACGAGGTGCATCGAGTGGGTTTGGGGATTCTACCGCGAGAGCGTCCGGGGGCCGGCAAAGGACATCATCTTTGTGCTGGACAAGAGCGGAAGTATGGCTGGCGCACGGGTAAGTCAGCCGTGTGGGAGTACAGACGGAGAAGCCGTCTCGTGTGCTTGGGGTGTGTGTGTGTGTGATAGGTGCGTGTGTGTCTGGAGTCCATGTGCAAGATCCTGAGGGACTTCCTACAGCCCTCAGATCGATTTGCTTTCTACTGGTTTAACACAAGGTGGGCAGAAGAGACACAGCATGAAGGACGGCCCGGCCCCTGCATGTCTCGGTCAACCAATGTGCTATAATAACATACCTCCACCCACCAGGGTGCAGCAGCTGAGGGCCCTCAGCTCCCGTGGGGATTCCACTGCCTGTGCCGCCGAGTGTGAGCGCATCACAAACGAAAACAGATGTGGAGGCGGCACCGCTTTCTTCGACGCCATCCTCCAGTCAGTCACACACACGAAGGGAAAGAGCCGCTATGGAATGAATGCATGTTGTTCATGTGTGTCTTGGCCGTGTGTGTGGTGCAGGGGTTTGCATGAGGCCAGCAGCAGTGAGGAGGCGGCGAGGCGTGATCAGTGGGTGATAGCTCTGACAGATGGGGGCGACAACAGCAGCCGTAGCAGCAGTGTGGGCGAGGCGTGTAGCTTGTTGCGGACACACAAGGGGCTGCACCTTATTATCATTACTGTCGGCAAGGAGTACAGCAAAGACAAAGTAAGAGCGGGAGGAGGGAGGACACACACCACACCACACACACATAAGAAAGAGCCAGCTGGACGGTGTTGTCTGTCTGTGTGTCTCACGAGACAGAACGAGATGGTGCTCAAGGCAGCGAGGGACAACGGCTCTCACGGGGTGCATGTGAGTGCTGATGACACAGGGCAGCTGCACGACGCCTTCAAGCGGGTGGAGCAGCTCATCGAACAGGCCAACATTGAGTATCTGTGATTCACTGATGGGCTGTTGTTGCATGCATACCCGGAGGCACACATGCATTGATTGCATTTGTCATCATCAACGAGTCAGTCCATTAATCATAGGATCAAAAATCAATCCACACGTACGGACACTCTATCCTCACACACACACACACAGACAGACACAAACTGCCGGCCCCGGACTGACTGTACAGAAGGCCGGCAAACAGACCATCTCTCCACCCACATCGACACACCACACCCACCCCCTCACGCCCTCAGCTCTTTCTCCCTCTCTTTCAACACTGTCGGCAGCACGTCAAACCCATTGGGCTTGTCAATGCCAAGCACCTCCAGTGGCTGACCACCATACTGCTCCGAGCGGAGCGCTTCATTCGCAGACGCCTCTCTGTCGATGGCTTCGTCGTCATACGGCACCACACCATCGGGTGTGAGTGCCCTCAGCAAATCCACCCCGCCCCCAAAGACAGCCGACTTGACCAGCGCCGCCCGCACAGCGTTGTTGAGCTTGGTGAAGAAGCTCAGCGAGAAGGCGATGCGCCGTGTCCAGGTCTCGTGCTGGTCGTTATGCGGAAGGCCGGGCCATCCGGCCAGGAACCCCGCCCACATTGGCAGCTCGAGGTTGAAGAAGCCCCGGAAGAATGCCCGCAGGTTGTGCACGTTCTGCTGCATCAGGAACTCCCCACCGAACACAGTGAACTCCCGCTGACGCCTGAACTGCGCGGGCCACAGAGCGGCGTAGGCTGTGCGGGCGGCACGGTCGGGGGCAAACACGCCGTCGATCGGCTGACGGATCTGCACACACACACACGCACACACGGACAGAGGGATTGACCTCTGTTTTCGTCTGGCTGCAACCAAACACACACACACACACATACAAACGCACCTCTTTGGCGATAGCCTCGGCTGTTGGCGCCACTCCCGACATCATTCGGCAGATCATGTAGCCTGTGGCCGCATGCACCACCCCTGCCGCACCACCAAATGCTATCACCTGAGTGAGCCCAGCCCAACCACACGCGAACACCCCCCACACGACCACATGGGCAGTTCGTGTCTGTGGGTCAGGCCTGTAAGTCATCTAGATACCCACCCGTTGGTTTCGTTTGGGTATGGCGCCCCCCATGGGAATGTAGCAAAACTCCTCCTCCTCAATCTTCTGCGGCTCGACACCTGAGTGAGCCACAGGCACCCGTCACGAGCCTGTGCTTGTCTGTCGGCCATGGGTACAGGTGCCTATCCCGGCTCACCGAGGTATGCGAGTCTCTTCTTGAATCTCTCTTTGCATTCGTCAAAGGACATGGGCGGCCGCGCCACGAGTGAGGTCTCCTCCAGAAAAATGCGGCGCAGACCGCTGGCCGACTCGCCGAACGGCATCACATCTGGCAGACACGCAAGCCATGTCGGTGTGAGCTGAAGCTCCGTGTGCCTGTAGTGACTGCATTATCTGCTCACAGAGGAAAGTGGGTTCCCTGACGGCCTTGTCAAGGTCGGTCTGCATGGTGGGCTCTCCCTTCTGCGCCTCAGTGATGTAGTCGGTCCGGTAGTCCATGAAGAGCATCGCCCCCTCGTCAAATGGGTGCCGCTCACACTCACACATGATGCCATAGGCGATCTGGAAACCAGGGTCGTGCCTCCCGTCCCGCTCAATCAGCTTCGACTCGTGGCCAGTGCAGTCCACAATCAGCTTGGTCCGCAGTTCGGTGCTTCTGCCGTCCTGGAGCCGCACAGAGCTGCCAGTGTCGTCGTGCCGCACAGATGAGGGGTCGATAGCAGTGTCAAGCATGACCACTCCGGCTTGCTGTGCGTGTGCGCGGAGTCGCTGCTGCAGCTTGATGCGATTGACGCGGGCGTATGGCCTGTGGATGCGGAGGGGTGTGGTGCCGCCAGGGTCGAGAAAGAGGTCAGTCTTCTCCCACCGATGGTCCAGACACTCATCCACACCCAACTGAGTCAAACATGCCAGGCAGGACACACACGGAGAACGGAAGATGTACGGGGGCCACCGCGAAATGTCGTGGTCAGTCACTACGTGACACACACCTGCAGCTGTCTTTCCACGGCTTCCCACTCGGCCACCCACACGCCGTAGTTGTTGGGCCACCTCTCGTGTATCCTCGGGTCAATCATCACCACACGCAGGCCGTACCTCTTGGCCAGCACGGCACCCATGGCAGTCCCAGCCGGACCAGCACCCACAATCAGCACGTCCGTGTCCATCGACAGAGGAGTTGCGTCGACAGACGCATCGGCCTCGTTCGCTGTGGCCGAGAGAGCGGACAAAGGCGACGATGTGGGACTCAGTGAGTGCCTCCTGATGCCATCCAGCCGCCTCCGGAACCGGTGATCTGGTGATGGTGTGGCACGCTGAACATCCTTGCGGCTGGCAGAGGGAAGGCGAAGGGATGCGGCATAGTGGGAAGGCGCGATGAAGAGAGATGTTGCAGATGCGACAGCCATTCTTATGCACGCCATGAACGCTGCAAAACGCCAGATCTGCCGGCCCTCTGCCGCCATCGGCTCGACTCGCTCCCCATGGGGTGTTAGGGCAGCTCCCGTTCACACGAAATCCAACGTTCAACGTTCAGCTTGAATCACGGCATCAGGCTCTTGGGAGCCGCAGGGGCTTCGTTGTTTTGACCCCATTCCACCGTGAGGGCCACGTGCCAAGTAATGGAATGCGCCATTCAATGACATTCACTCTGTCTGATGCAGACGGAGATGTTCCCAGGCCATTCGACGCTGTTTGCCCTCCTCATCTGTGCTGTGCTGATTCCACATACAAGGGGTATATCCCACTCACAGTGCACCATAACAAACAGCACCAGAAATGTTTGCTTTTCGCCTGTGTGCATTTCATTGGCAGCTGTGTGTGGCGACGGCGTTCGGGGTGGGGACGACTGTGATGACGGGAATGAGGTTGACGGGGATGGCTGCTCGGGGGCGTGCACCATCGAGACCGGCTATGAGTGCGACCCCAACAGCAATCCATCCATGTGTGCCTCAACATGCGTTGGGGAGAGCGCCCTCATAGTCTGGAGCCCTCCCAATAGACGTTACAGCGGCAGCAATGTTCTCGACCCCGGAAAGCAGTACAAGGTGCCGAATAAGGAAGAATGTGCCCGTCTGTGCCTGTCGAGACACGACTGTGCTGTTTTCGAGTGGAAGAGCCCGACCGACCTGTGCGCCATGGCTGGAACAAGCAACCTAGCGGACAACCCAGAGACGGCAACGTTCTCCGGTCGTAAGGTTTGTGTGGAGCAGTGCAGCGCTATCGATCGGCCTGAAGAGGAATGCTATAGTGAGCAAACACAACCGCCACAACCAGAGAGACACAGGTGTGTTGGGTGTGCCATTTGGTTGGTTTGTTGTGTGTGTAGGTTTTCCCTGCCGCATCGAGTGGGAGTGGCATATGGTGCCCAACTTTACCGGCTTTCACCAGCACCCCTTCAGCTGCCAAGACGACGCCCTGGTGGGAGCCAAACTAATCCACGTTGGTACGTTTGTGTGGACTTACAGTGGCATCAAAGTGCCTGTATGTACATGTATATATGAACGCATGTGCAGGCAGCGATGCCGCCTGGCAATATGAATGCTGCCCCCAGCCCAATCGGACGACTTTAAGCGATGAGACAGAGGCGTGGACAGACGAAATCGGAGCATCAAGCTGGAAGGTGTATGTCCAAATGTTCAACCCGGACTCGCCCATCTCATGCCCCGACAACAGCGTACTCACAGGGATGCACTTGAAGAAGCTTGACGGGCCAACCAGGACGCAGTGGGAGTAGGTGGGGGGCAGAGATGGTTCTTGAACTTCTTGCAACCCATTGACGTGCTGCGTGGGACAAATGTGTTGATTCTCAGGTACAACTGCACGGATCTCACGGCCTACACCCAGACTCAGCGGGACAACATCTTCTGCCAGTGGCACTCCGTGGCCACCGGTGCTGGTCATGGCTCCATTTTTACGCGTAAGGCATTTGACGATTTACCCTCCCATTCAGCACGTTCTTGTTCCCTTTGTGCTGGTGGGTGGCTGAATGCAGCCGATTCCTGGCGTGAACTGGAACACGCGCCACTTTCGTGTGAAACTCATGAAGCCTTGAATTTTGTGAATATGACAGTCGATTGGCAATCAGGACCTGAATGTAAGTCAGTGAGAGAGCGGGCCGCGTGAGCTCTCCTTCCTTTTCTCTTTCTTTGATCTTTTTGTTTCTTTCTGCTTGTTCAGCCTCGTTTGATGTGACGTTTGACTACCGATGCTGCTCTGTCACCTTGTGTGGCGACGGATGGGTAGGACATGAAGAGATATGCGACGATGGGAATGTCGTCAATGATGACGGATGCCGTGACAACTGCACTGTCGAGCCGGGATGGCTATGCCTTGTGCCAGGCAGCCCCTGCTGTAAGTCTGGGAAGAGAGACAGATCGATATCATTACAATGGCTTGCATTCTTTGTATTTTTCTGAAGTTTCCGTGACGACAACGTCTTCCCCCACGCCGACACCCTCCCCCACCCCGACACCGTCCCCCACCCCGACACCCCTTCCAACGGCGCCGCCAGTGGACGACTGCTACTGCTCGGAGGGATCCGGATGCGGTAAGCGCACCCGAAGGGGACAAAATTATGCTTCACTCGGGCTATGACTGCTCTACTCTATAGACAACTCCGTCTGCAGTAACTGCAGGATTCGATTCGGTGACGTTCTCGAACGTTGCACGAGACTCGCGCTTACTTTGTTTTGTATTCAGACACTCCGGTTCGGTACGCCTGCTACGCCAATTGGACCTCCGACCAGTGTATGGAAGCCGGCGACAACTACACTTGGTGCGGCGGAGGTGAGCCATTCACCACGTGCCTATACCATCCATCCGCCTGATGTGTCAGGGACAGCTTCCCCTCCGGTTGTCACCACACCGCCCACCGAGGTCACGTCCCCGCCCACAAGCCCTCCCTCCTTCATCGACAATATCACAGACGACGACGTCGGCAAAATCAAGGTGACCACGGGTATACAATGCACAAGCCCTTCGACACTCACTCTCTCCATTGACGTCGCTTCTGACAACAGGAAGGGGATTCGCTCAATGACACGGAAGTGGGGAAGGCGATCGATGAGCTGCTGGAGGAGGAGGAGGACGCACCGCCAATTGACTCTGTGGACGCCTTCGCCGATCGGCTGGTGCGTGCGATCCAAGTGGCCGCTGCGCTCAAGAACGCAAGCAGAGACAGCAGCCTTCCCAACGGCACCGAGGGAGACACCAAGGCGCAAAAGCGAGTGATAATGAGGGCACTACTCAAAGACCTCAACAAGGCACGACGACCAACATCCTCTTGCCAGAGCGTCTCTGTGCCACTCATCGTTCCACGTCGTGTATGGTGTCTCTCATTCAGGTGGCCACCGAGCGAGGACGTCTGGGTGACGTGTCGAGCAGCGGAAGTGAGGTGCTGCTGTCCGCCGCTACACTCGCCACAACCATCGAGGCCGCTGACGAGGCCGAGACCGACGAGATCGACGACACCGCAATGGCCGTCAACACATTCGCCTCACTCGTCACTGTCTCGAGGCGCGCCATCGCACAGACCGACAACGCGACACCACAAGAGAAAGCCAAAGCCCTCAGTGGCGTCGGCCATTATCTTGATGCGGCCGCGGGCCTCTTCAGGCAGCTCAACCGCACGGCCAAGTCGCTACGGGCACCGAATCGACGGCTCAGTGGAGACGGAGCCACACCGACATATAACGATATGGCGTGGGACATTCGCAACACGACGAGTCAACTGGGCGACAGCTTGGTGTCTCGCGTGGCTTTGCTCGAGGAGGGCAAGCGCAGCGTCGAAGTGGCGAGTGCCGAGGGCGGGACAAGCATGCGGGTGGCAACAAGGGACCAAGCTGACGAGGCCATGCTCTCGATGGGGACGGCCGAGCAGAGTGTGGCCGTCGGATTCCCATCAGCAGTAGACTCGTCGACCACCAACTGCGGCGGGCAAATGAACACCGCTGAGAGTGTGCAGCTGGTGTGGTGGTCCGACGACCCATTCCAATATGCCTCCAGTGATGAGCAGCAAGACCCCGCCAACGTGACGACCAACAACACACTCACACGTGCCGCTGCACAAGGCACATTCACCATCTCGGTACGCAAGTGAGACGCATCCATCCGTGCCTCCATTCAAGGCCCTTGTCTGCCTCTGCCTCCATTTGTGTGTGCGTGTTCGTACCATTAGGGCCGTCGGTGCGGTAGCGACATGCAGCTGAGGGCGTCGGCGGGCGGCGAGCCATTTCGCATTTTCCTGCCCCGGCCGCCTTCCCATCAGCTGAGGAGGTCTCTGCAGCAGACGGCCAACGGCAACATGACAGTGGTCGTCGAGGACGCCTGTGGATTCTGGAACGACACAACAACGCAATGGGACACACAGGGTGGGTGGGTGGGTCGATGAGCGAGCCAGCAACTTACAGCAGTGGCCGTCTTGTGCTGACAGGCTGTCGTGTGAATGAGGTGCTGTCCAACAGCAGCACGCTGTGCTGCGAGTGTGACCATCTCACTGACTTCGGCAGCGTCTTCAGGTGACACACCCTCAATGAGTCACTCACCGCACATATATACAGAGATATGTGCGTGCATACTGCAGGAGTGTGATAGTTGACAGCAGCATAGCGGATGTCTTGGGTGGTGCCGATGAATCGCTCAAGAGGATTGGCGACATCACCGCAATTGTGCAGAACGTCGCCGGCATCTTCGTTTTCATCATGATTGCCATCCATCTCGTCTGCCTCGCCGTCTCCATCTACTTCGACTGCAAACACCCGTACCAATGCATTCAAGCAGACAGACAGACAGACAGACAGACAATGACAGCAGTACTTACAGGGCTCGCTAACACACCCTGCTGTGGTGTGTGCAGCATCACCAATGAAATCCTCTTGGACATCTGGATGACGGACCCACTTCTGGTGAGTGTACGGAAGACATTCGCCTCATGGCATAGATTCGCATCCTTCTATGCGGCTCACAGGATGCTCGACACACTGCGGTCAGCACTGGAGGATTCCATCAACCGGGTCAATCTTGTGTTGCCCCTGTTTGTCCTCCTTCGTTGCTTGCGTGCCCATGCCCGTGCGCAGCGTACGCGTCTGCAGAAGGTCAGCAGGGACTGTTGGAAGGTTGGCCGTCTGTATGTGTGTGTGCATGTGCAGGGGATACATCAATGCAGCCGGAGGGCGTACCACCCCTTCTGGTGCGACTTCCTGGTGTGCCGCATCGTCGGCGGCTGCTGGCTCTTCTGCAAGCGAAGGGAGCCGACTGTCCACCTCCAGGAGCTCCGGACACTCAGACAAGTCAGACAAGAGCTTTTGCACGAGCCGCCGAAGCAGCGACCCCGCGAGGACAGTCTCGTCGCCATCGAGCAGGCAAAGCCTCCAGTGGTGAGCAACATGCCGAGTTCTACTGACAAGAAGCCATGGTAAAAATGGGGGAGGCAGAGAACGATGTACATCCATTGCGTACTCTCGCTCTTGCATCAGGTCGGATGGAGCAAGAGTGCGCCGCTTCTCTCTGTCGACTGCCTTGACGGGACATCAAGCGGACACGGCGCAAACAGACAGCAAGAGCCTACGATACCGAGTGCAGGAAGCCTTACCCAGCTTGACCGATTTCATCAAGTATGCATTCGTCAAGAAACAGCAAGAAAACAGCCCGAGTTCCCGCTTTGAGGTCAAGAAAACGGCGACGGACCTCAGTGTCTCGGGCCCTTTACCCAAGCAGGACCCCAATTGGAGCGTCATGCCTCAGTCGCCGCTCTCTCTAGCCGGCGACGAACCATCAGGCACATACGGTGCGTCGTCGCCGGCGCGTAGGCGGGCGAGTGTTCAGAGTGTAGATTCACAGGTCAGCGAAGACCACAAGTCTGAGAACGAAGAGCGGGGACCACAGCAAGGGCCCAGAGGTCTATCGTTTGCGCCGTCCGTGGGCGCCCAAGTACACAGCCCACGCACAGGGTCAATCTCAGTCTGTCTATGTGCACACCCCCTCTGTTCTGCACCATCAGATGGACGCCAGAGGGATGCAGATATTTCAGCAGCTGATGAGAGAAGAGAAGAGAAATACTGTCAACCTCGTCAAGTGAGGGCCCTGCCTTTGTCAGTCGCAATGTGCCTGCTACCAATTGCCTGTCCTCGCAGGAGTGGTGTGTTGAAAGAGGCATTGAGGCAGAGACTTCTCCTCGAACTCCAGCGGCAGCAGGCGGGAGCCGTCTTGATTCAACGGCACTGGCGTGCCCTTCTTACCCGCAAGAAAGGACAGAAGGCCTCGACGCAGTTGAAGGAAGGGGAGCAGGTTCCTGATATTGAAGACACGCCCTCGGCAAAGCTGTTCGGCCGTCCTCAGAAGAAGGGCACCATCGAAATGGAGGACGAGAGGCAGGGCCAGATGCAGCCGGAGGAAGGGGAAGAGGAAGTACCGCAAGACGAACGCAAGCACCGGAAGGGATTTGAGGATGTTGCTGCTCCGGCCTCCGACTCTGCCCAGTCACCTGCCAGCCTGACGAGCCGCTTTCAGACAATGGTCGACTCGGAGGGCTCACCTACCCACACAAACACACAGGAAGAGGAGGATGAGGAGGACGATAACGCCGATGACCTGTCACCCAAGCTGCAGAAGGGCCAGACTATTCCGATTGCTGACGCCTTGGGCCACCAGCAGCAGAGGGAGGTGAAGCTTATGGTCGATGACGGAAAGAAGAGGCCCGCTCACAAGGTGATGCAGGGGAAGGCTGCCGCTCCGCGTCGCAAGAGCGTGACGGAGTTGTGGGGCGATCTGAACATTGAGGTGGACATGATGGTGACGCGGACGATGAGGAGGGTCGAGTATATCGAATGGGGGCCGACCAAGATGTTCAAAGAGGTCGTCAGGCGAGACCATCCGATAATGAAGCTCTTCATCCTCAATCCAGCGTACGCACCAGACTCCTTGGGGCACACAATTGCACACGAAGATGAGTGGATGACACACGTGTCTCCTCCCGTCTCAATGCAGGTATACTGCCGTTCAGCGCGTTTTCTTCTTCGGCAGCATCAGTCTGGGGATACTGACAATGTGCGCCGTCTTCTTCGACCGCACACGCATGACTGGCGAGGGTACCGAGAACGTGCTGCTGTCCTTCCAGACTTCGGACATCGCCTGGAAGCTCACCCTGCGGCAGATCGCCGTGCTCATCTGGTCTATCATCCTCGCCAAACCGGTGGGCCACTTCAGTGCAGCCTTGCCCATACACGCCCCTTCTGTCCTGTCTGTTGTATGATGTCCGTCGCAGGTACCCATCGTGCTCATCCTCCTCTTCAGGAAGACTGTGCCTCACATCAGACCCTCACCCACACGAATCGGTGAGCGTCTCGCAGGAGGCATACATTTGAGACAGTTTTGCCTGCTCTCCACATGCGTCTGCAGCAGACTACGACGTGCCCGCGGGTAAGAGTTTCTTCCTTGCCAAACGTACTAGTACAAGCTTCGCCAAGAGTGGGCGCCGCATTGCAGAAATCACTGGCCGCCACTCAGGTGGGTGGGCAATATCCTGCCCTGCTCGGCGTGATGCATGGTGTACTCTTTGTGTCTTCAGGCCACTTCCCGCTTGAAAAGAAGACGGCCGTGCTAACACGATGGCGGGTGAAAGCGAGGATCGGCGTGGCCATTGCCCTTATCTACTGGTTTGTGTGCGCCTCCTTCCTGGTGTTATTCGCCTTCTCTGAGCGGCTGGAGCAGCACGACAATCGACCCTCGTACATCATATATCAAGACTTCGTGTTGGCATGCTCAGGTAGGTTGCATGGCACAGCCACTGAGGGAGAGAGAAAGACATCTATCACCGTGGTGGCATTTTTTGTCGCAGTCGAAACCCTCAATACCTTCATCCTGCAGCCGATCATCAACTTCATCCTGTTGTCTCTGCTGCTCATGGCAATCCTGCGCATCGGCTTCTGCGACTGGATCGTTTGGATGATGCCCCACTGGTAAGCGAGCGACACAAGGCAGACGGCGATTGCCCGCCTACGCCATCCGTGCGCATGAGGGATGCTATCTATCTATCATATCTATCTATATGATTCGGTCAGGTTCGACTTCACCCACGTGCATGCGGTGTCTCTGCATGAGCTGACCATCCAACTGCAGGCCATCACTGACACACAGGAGCTCACGCGGGGCATCCTGGGGTTTGCTGGATTAAACATTGACAGCATTGGATTCGTCCAGGACGTTTTCTCATTCTGACTATGGTGCTGTCTGTGGTTCTGTGCACTTTCTCTCTCTGTGGAGCGTAATTCTGTGTGTCTTAAGTGCTTTGGGTGATGAAGAGTTTGTTGCGGAATCAACAGTAAGGACATGTCCTGGACAGTGTTTTTTGGGTTTTCTAGGATCGACCGGGATGGCTTATCGCTCTTGGTTTGACACGTGTGCAAGGGCTTGTCCCAATGCCGTCCCCGGTTGGTACATTGTACTGTATATGCGTGTCATTTTGGAAAGATAGTGTGTCTTCTTCCTATGATGCACCGGAATGAATGCAGGCAGTGTAAGTCGGCATTTGCGCAGGCGTGTGGCCATGCGACGCGGAGAAGTGAAAAATTGACAACTAGCGGCCTTCCGCCGAATGTGCACCGACAAATGACACCATCAACTCATGCATTGCAAGTCGCCGCTTCAGCAACACGTTCTACAGTATCTGATGTGCCGTCTGTCAAGTCCATCAAGCCCTCGCCGTCCGTATTTCCCCCTGCCTTCGGATCGTCGACAGACTTTTGAGCTCGCAAGTTTCCTCCCCAACTCACTTAGGAAGAAAAGTGGGCCTCATTCATCATTGAAGCGTTCCCAGCGTTTCCTCGACTGGATCTTTCCACTGGATCTCCCATTGACGAGCGTCACGAGAAGATCTCTGCAGCCCAGCCCTGCCACACCTGCCAGCAAGCAGGCCCGTGCCGAGCGCGTGAACAAGGTCGCCCAGCAACGTGGTGGGACGATGACGAGACTGCAGCACGTTGCGACGTACCGTTTCTCATTGTATCCATTGTTTTCTGTGCTGCAGAATCGGCTGTGTGTGGCTGTGCTGTGTGAGGTGTGTGGGTATCGATGTCGGTGCGTCGGGTGGTCCGTTTCGTCCTCTGGTGCAGCAACCAGCCGCGCCAGAAACTGATCCGTATGGGACTGCAAGGCTCTGGAGGTGAGCACAGATGTGGTGTGGTGTCCTGTCATCCTCTCGTGGCTGGCTTGATTCTCCCGTTCAGTCGCACTGGCGGCGTACATGGGTATGGATTTCCTTTATGCGACTGACGTCCGCCCCATGGCCCCGCAGGCAATCGCTGAGCACCTGAAGGCGGGGTCCGTGCAGGCGTGCACGCCCGAAGGAGTGAGGGGCTACTTCACCACCTTCAGAGCGGCGCCCAAGGGCGAGCCGACGGACCAGGTGGCGATTGATGCTGAGAACGGGATCTTCACGATCTTCGACGGCACCAATGGGTCGCTGTGCGCCAAGTTCCTCAAGGACAACTTCCTGGACATTCTGCGCTTCGATCTCTACCGCATGTTCTCGCCCGTATTCAACAAGAGGAGACGACGGAACACAGAGGAAGCAGAGGGAGATAACGGCTCCACCATCCCCCGGTCGACGGCGGCTTCCCACGTCAACAAGGGGTGGCTCAACTTCTCGGGCAGCGAGCTCATCTTCGAGGTGCCCTTTGGCCTCCAGGCCAAGTGGATCGACGCCATCAGCAACAGCTTCTACGTCGCTGAGCGGATGTTCTTCCTCAGGAACGAACACCGCGGCTCGTCCGTCGACGACCACCTGTCGGGCGCCAGCGTCGCCTCGGCCATCGTCACGCCCATCGGCCTCGTTGTTGCAAACATTGGCGAGACCGTCAGTGTCCTTGGGGCCGTCAGAAAGACAGCAAACAATGCCGGTACGCAACCAAACGGATAGCAAAGGAGTGCGGGTGGACGGCTGGGTAGCTGCGTGTTTGTGCCGGTGAGTGTGTGTGTGCTGCAGTGCAACCCCCTGAATCGATGCGCGGAATCCCCGTGGGCGACCATGAGAGGCTTGATTCGTTCCAGATGACAGCTCGGCACACGTGCGACAGTGTCAGCGAGAGGAAGCGCATCGCGGGCAGCCACCAGCACCGGCAGATTTACAGAGACATGTTCTACAACAGGGGGCTACTCAAAGGACAGCTGCGCATCACCAGGGCCATCGGCTCGTACCACCTGAAGGTCTGTCGAGCAGTGGCAGAGAGCACTGTCCATGGATGTGTGGGCCTGACCTGATTGGTGCATCCTGCCGTCAATTGTACCTTGTGTGTCGACCATCAGGACACGAACATTTGGGAGCGTCTGCCTGAAAAGCACCCAAAGCTTTACAAGTTCCCTCCCGTCCAGCCATATGTCATCTGCATGCCGGTAAGTAGCGCCTGACACACACACAACAGGGAGGGGACACAGAGGACGATCAATCATCCATGCGTCTGTCCTGTGTGTGTGTGTTTCCTCAGGAATACTGCCTACAGGTAAAGGGACATCGGGAAGGTACAACAAAAAACAGTGCAACCACAGGTAGACGAGATGCCGTCCTTGCTTTGGTTCAGCAATACTTTCCCGAAGTCAAGTTCATGCTCATGGGTAAGTGGGCAGCCAACGCCCCGCCCCATCCATGTGATGTTGGCGCTAGCTGAATGTTTGTTTCCTCGTTAACCGTTCACTCATTCAGGCTCGAGTGGGTTTTGGCAGCTGGTGGACAAGGACGAGGCAGTCAAGGCGACGTACCAGTTCCTGGAGGCCGAAAAGCAGGCCAGACAGGACCTCATCAACCAACAAACACAAACCATACCACAACCCGCCGTGGTAACAAACACCACACATCCATCCGCGCACACATATCATGGATCTTCGTATGGCACTGCTCGTCTCGTCTCGTGTGTGTCGTGTCAGGTCACCACCCCGGCAGCAGCACCAGATGTGTCCCCTGAGCCGCCTTCACAGCAAGAGAAGGAGGCCGACGACACAGTGGGTGTGGTGCCCTCGCCCCTCGCCGGATCGCTGGTGGCCCGCCTGCAGCACATGCTCTTCTCACGCACCACAGCCACACCGGCATACGCACAGGAAAGCAGCGGCGCGGCCAGCGAGCCTGGGCCGAAGAAACACAATGAAGAGGCCAAGGCGAGCGACGTCTTGCAGCCGACGATTGAGCAACCAATGGTAAGCCAGAGGGAGGGAACAAAGGCTGGTCCGTCCGTCCGTCCGTCCGTCCGTCGATGATGGACGCCAATGAGTGTGGGTGGATGCGGGGCATGCATGTTGATGGGTGAATGAATGGTCAGGGTATGGATGTGTCGACCTACCTGATGCGCAAGGCCCTCTCCGTAGCCGCCAAACGAAACCAGTAAGTGAGACAGCCACCCACCCACCAATCAGCTCCTGTTGTCTTGTATGTGTCATCTATCTGTTGCTTGGTCCATCCATCGATCCATCGATGGATCGATGTGTCAGGATGATGCATCTGAACGCCCAGGTGTTTGAGGACTGCCTCCCCACGGTGGCCACCCGGGGTCTGCAGAAACACTTCAACAAATACGGACTGCCATACCCCGCTTGCGAAGAACGACTGCTCTCAAAGTGGGTGGATAGGATAGGCTATGTATCTTCCGCCGTACTACTATGTGTCCGCTCCTCTCTCTCTCCGTACGTGTGATTGTGTGTATAGCCTGATCAAGACGCACCGCAGGCGGACCAATCGGGACCTCCACCCACTGCCGTCCACTACAGAAGTCCTCAACGACGGTATGTACGTCTATCTATCAGACAGACAGACAGACAGGCAGCCACACAGACCGATGGATGGATGGCTGTGGTGTGGTGTGGATTGGTTCAGATGTGACAGTGGGTGTGCTGGTGCTGCCCAGCAAACTCAGCCGCACCCCTCCCAAAAACAGGTCAGTGGGCTACCCTTGACACGGACTGACTGGCAGAGCAGAGGACCCATCCCATCCCATTCATCAGCTGGCTCTCCCCCTTGTCTGTGTGCAGGTTTGCCGATCCCTCTATGGGTCCGCCTGCGATCGCGCCTGCCGTCAAGGAGTTGGAGGCCGACATTCCCAAGTCCATGCCAGCGCCCGCCAATGAAGGCAGATGGAACATACCCATGGCGTACGCCAAAACACAGACAGATAGACAGAAACGGTTTCTGCTCTCTCCATACACACAACAAACATGTTGTGTGCATGTGTGTGTGTGTGTGTATGTGTATCTCAGTGACAGGCAGTGGTGGGATATCTCGCCCATCCACAACTACAGCCCCGGTAGCTAAGTGGGTGTGTGTGGATGGGATGGGTGTGTTCGGAGTTAGTGAGGCTGAGTGGCGTCAGTGACAGTCAGTCATTGGTCGGCGTCCAAGTCCGGCAGTTTGGTGAGGGTGTTGGTTTGTAGTCTATGTAATGCTCCTGCCCCTCCACAGACAGGCAGGCAGGTTTCCCTTCGTGGAGGGGGTGGATTTAATGATAACCATGATCTGACTATCGACATTCTCGGCACGGAGGATTCCATCCATCCATCCGTCCACTTGATCATCCAATCCACTCACTGCAGCACTGCAGTGCACACATTCGTTCGTCGGTCAACCGCAACAATCACATGCCTCCCTGCCTGCCTCCCTGGCTGGCTAGGCCGGCCTCTCCTTCTCTCCGCTGGCTGTGTGCATGCACGTATGTACGCGTGTGTGAGTCGGTCCATGCATCCCATCTATCAGGCGGGTCGCATTTGTGAGTTTATGGCCTCAGGCATCCCATCCACCATCAAAGGGATTGTCGACTGACCCTGGTGGAGATCGGCCCTGATGTGATTGATGTACAGTCACACACAGAGACAGACACACAGACGTGCGCATCGATCGCATCATGCCCAGCGTTGGTTGATCCCTTGTCATGTCACCCAACCTCCCTCCCTTTTTTTATTCATATATGCGGGCCGACCTGAAGACTCTGAATTTGTCCTGCATTGTGTTGCGGGACGCCACAAGCACCTGCAGTGCACCCACACACATTCATCCACACACGACACCCTCACACAAGTGTATGTATGTCTTTTCCAGCCGGCCTCTTGTGTCCGTCGATTGCATTGCCCACCCACCACTTTGCCTCCGGCATTTTTGCCCTCAATGGTGTAGGTGGCGTTGACAAAGAGAGTCCGCTGCGGACCAACTACATATGCCCACACACACACACACACACACACACAGGAATGGATGAAGCAGCCAGCCAACCAGCCAGCCGTTGGGGCACGTCGCGTCTCGCATACCCGCCGAGAGGATGCTGCAGAGGCAGCGGGGCGACCAAAGCGGGCGACAGACGAGATGCAGATAGACAAGGAGACAGATCATTATTATAGATCCATCCCCCGTGACTAGTGACCGACGCTCACCTTGGTCTTCCGCCGATAACGGCCCGTATTTGTGGATGGTTCTGAGCACACAGCAGAGTGGCCAGCCAATGAAGGGGCCAGGCCACACTCCAGCAGTGTACCAATACGAATCTGCGACCGAACCCCGCCCCCATGGCGTCTTTGATCTTGTTGTACAAGTGCAGCCCACCAAATCCAGCAACCAACAACTGCAGTGCACCCAGCCAACAATACATTCATCAATTGATCCATTCATCCATCCATCCACATCCATCCATGGAAGCCTGCCTGCATCATGTATGTGTCGTGTCTGTCCCTGGGTGCGTGCTCGTCCCACCTACCGTCGCAACAATCATGGCGTACATGACAAAATACTTCGGCCGCTCTCGCATGTGCGCCGAATCGTGGGAGAAGAACGCCTCTGAAACACAAATCCATACATCCATCCATCCACGAATGACGTCGGGACACCGGCAGGCACTTTGCTGCCCATCCATGCCATCCACCGTGCCGATCAACAGGTGTCCCTACCGATGTCAGGGTGGCTGTAAGGGTGTCCGTGCAGTATGACAGTCTGGTTGTAGTCGCCCTGTGGACACAGCACCACACTCTCAAGTATCCACCTCGACGGCACACCCGACCGGTAGTCAACACCACCACCAGACCGACGAGCCACAGACACAGAACCACTCTTATGTTTGGCCTCTGATCGATCGATCGATGGACGAAGCGCACACACACAGCCAGACACATGAGTGAGTGCCGCTGCCAAGTCGTCCATTGGTCTCACTTGTGGGTGGTTCGTCCGCAGGCTCGTCGGGCTGGCTGCTCGGCAGCTGGCAGGCAGGCACAGACAGACACGGAAGGAAGGAACACAGACAGACAGACAAACAGACAAACAGACAGACAGGCAGCCATAGGCGTGCGTGTCACGATTAGCTGCATGGGGCTGCTGCGCCCCATATGCCTTGCCTACCTTCTTGTACACCATGTTGACAAGCTTGGTAATTTTCTCCACGATAAGGTTTTTGATCTCCCAGGGGTGCTCGTAGTAGTGTATGAGAAAGGACCTTGCCGGCAAAGAGGGGTCGTCCTCAAACATGTCGTCGTCCTGGTCCTTACTGCCACTCCCGTCCTTGGTCTTGTTCTTCTTGTAGGCGCCTTTGCCGCCGCCCTCCTGCAGGGCCAGCAGGGGACTCAAACTACGCCGACGGGCACCTATCAACACCTACACGCACACACACGGGGACGGACGGACGGTGTGTCTGGTCTGTAACCGATTGGCTGAGTGACAGAGAGACCGACTGAGTGACCTGTGCAGTGCCATTTGGCCCAGTGAGTTTGACCTCTGATCGTGCGTAGAACTTCATTGAGTCGAGAGTGCACCGCCGGAAGGGCGACACTGACACAGGCGCACCCACGTGACGCTCCACCGAGCTGTCGTGCTGCACCCACCACCACAGACACACAGCACAGACAGAGAGAAAAGAATGAACGACATAAGGCGGCCCACGTGTGGTGAAGAGTATATATGTGTGTATGTGTGGGTCGCATGATGATTGTCTGTCTTGCCTTGAGCCCGTCGAGCACAGGCGTCAGGTAGGAGTGGTTCTTGTCCTGGTTGATGTATCCCTGGACCGCTGATGACACCGCAGCAGCCACTGCCACGCCCCACGCTCCTGCTATCGTGTAAGGCACGTTCTCGGGAACCCACAATGAGCGCAACTGCAAACACACAGCCAAGCGCGGGACAACAAATGGAAGGATCTGATAGCGCAGTGTGTCATGCATGGGCTGACTTCTTACCATTCTGCATCAGATCTCCGATCCTGCGCGACCTGGGTTTTCAGGGTTTCACCTGTAGGGTTCAAAAACCTAAACCCTAAACCCTTAGAACCCAAACCCTGCACCTTGAACCCTGGTGCTGGAACTCTACACTTGGGCGCATCCAGGTTCATCAATCCATTAGTGTAGGTGTGCACATGGAGCAAACATGTTGCACTGTTCTGTCCTGTGTTGCATTGTGTGTCGGTCTGAGCCAGTCGAAGAGACTGAAATAACAATCCCTAGTCAGCTCAGACAAGCTCAGATAAGAAGAGCAATCAATGTGTATACCACACCCGCAGCCCAGTGAGATCCCTCCACTGCAGCTGCTCTCGCTCACACTTCGCAAAACCCTAAACAATGCCCTATTTTCCGAACGACAAGACTCAAGTTGATGAATGAATAGCCAAACAAAGAGGGCAGCAAAACACACAGGCGCAGGACAGAAGCTGGCTCTTTGACCGACCGACAAAACGGCATGCTGTGAATGACGGCATGCCTGCCTCTTTTCTCTCCCGCCAGCCCAGCACTCCCTCCCAGCCCTTCCTTCCTCCAACCCCTCTTGACTTTATACACGTATGTATCATCGATGGCCACACTCCCATCACGGACGCACCAGGCGGCCCCCATCCTGCACCCGCCAAACCCCACCCGCGTGCTGGAAGTGTTGTTGCTGAAAGGGCAGGGGGCGAGCGTACGGCTGGTTGATGGGCGGCTGGTGGTGGTAGACAGGAAGCAGCTGGCGCACTGCGTTGATCCGAGGATGCATCGGCCGGACGGGGGGGTGAGAAGGCTGCTGGTGAGAAGGCTGAGCAGCCTTTATCTCCTTGGGTATGCCGCATACTGCACGCCGCACGCCTCGCACGATTGACCTCATCGATAGACAGCACCCGCACGTTTCAGCCCCAGTTGCCGGCACAGTCGGCCTTGTGTGCGGCTGGCAAGGAGGGACTCGATGATGAGAGGGGGGAGCCTCACGCACGACGGTGCGTCTGATGGCCTCTACGCGCTGCTTCACATGCCGTAGACTCGGACGATGATCCGGATGCACCTGCGTGCACTCCTTCATGAGGGTCACCAGCTGGTGTGTGGCGGTGTTGGTGTCGTAGCCGGCAGGAAGGACGTCTCTGACTGGTAGCCCGTTGTTGACATCCAACATGCAGGCCCCAGTCGCGCCGAGACAGAGGAGATAGCCCGTGAGGTAGGTCATCGTCTTCTCGGTCACCCATCCCCAAGTCTCCGAGTAGCCAGGCTGATATATGACAGCAGGGAGCAAAAGCACAATGCATCAAGACAGTCAATGAGTAAGGATTCCTTCCCATAAGGCCGGACACGTACGTATGTTGCATGGGGCGTCAGCACAAAGGGGAGGCCGGCGTCTCTGTTGTGAGCAGCCCATCTCCCCCCAGCTGCCTGCCATTCTTCCGGCGTTGGGTTGGAAGAGAGCAAAGAGCTGTTCGCACCGTGATACGCCCACCCGCCCATGGTTGGCGACTCAGGTGCCCAGGTGAAAGCCGACCAGGTGACGGGCGGCTCACCCTCACAAGGGCCAGAATCACGGACTAGACATGCCCGATCTACCGATGAAAGGGCGGGGGCGACCGAGATGATGTCCCCCACAGGATGCGTCGCTGCCGCGGCTCTGGTCCAGCCTCCTCCTGGCCCTCTCTTGATGGCCCCAGACGTGCGAAACGACACCAGACCACCCAGGTCGAACATGAACACACGCTGCCGCCCATCCCGGCCCGCTGAGGGGTTGATGAACAGGTTGTTGAGCACTCCGTCGAGGTGCAAAAAGTCGTATCCCTCGTACAGCTGCAGGTGGGCGTCAACGGCGGCTGTGAGGACGTCTAGAACCATCGCCACTCTCTCCCGTGACACTGTCTCGCCGCTGTCACGCTCATATCGATCCGTGCAGCATTGCGTCGTCCACTCCGCCAGGGGCCGATAGTCTGCGGGGATCTTCTCGAGACAGAGGAACAGCACTCGGGCGTCACTTTGCCAGCGCCACGCCCCGTCTGCCCTCGTTTGATGCACGCCGGCGGTGCCATAATGGCCGCCAACAAACAAGTCCCGTTCCGTCACACCACAGAGTGTGCCGTCGAGGTAGAGGGATGGAACAGGCACCGACACATGCTGCCGCCTCTTGCCGTCCTCCAGCAGCCGATAAGCGGCCCCCTCATAGTACAGCATCTGCGTCGTCGCCAGCCGCTGAGGGTCCCCGACAGAGGGCGGCACACTGCCATCGGGGAGTTTGGCCCATTTCACGGCACACGGCTGGCGCTTGATGCACTCGACAGGCAGGGAACGATGACGAAAGGCAAAGGTGAGGGCCAAACCGTTTCTCACCCCTTCAGCCCCCTGGCCCCTGCCAAGCTCCTCGAACAGGTAGATCTACGCACACACAGAGAGAGAAAGAGAGAGAAACAAACAGATAAGTGAGTGATGTGCGTTTGTTTTGTATGGGAGTGCACTGCACGCCTTTGTTTGAGACCTCGTGGCAAAGCAGCCCATCGTGGAAGAGGATGCGCTCTTTGGCGTGCGAGATGCCAAATTGGGCGACGTGAGGCGGTCGGGTGGGAGGTGGTGGGGATGCCGCAGGAGGGGGGTGATGCGCAGCAGCAGCCTGGTCCTGCTGAACGAGTGGGTGTGGCACATGGCCCATGCATGTTCTCCAACCCGGTCGTGGAGTCGCAATGTGCTCCCCGCCTTCCGGTGCGCCTGCAAGTAAGGCAAGTAAGGCAAGACAGCCACAAACGAACCGAGCGATGGATGCTATGGCGTGTTGGCTCATCTATCCATTTCATTCATTCATTCTCACCGCTTTGCGAGGAGAAAGATATCGATATCGTCAGTCCACCCTCCCCTCCATTCTCACCGAGGGCTCCTTCCTCTTGTAGCATGATTCGTCAACAGAGAGAGGGGAGTCTGTGAGGACAAGGAGGCTTGGTTGGTTATGTGTAACGATGAAGTTGCCACGAACGGGGTTGCTTGGATCTTGGGCGACCCTGGGCTGGCGCCAGCCGTCCGAATTGCGGGCAAGTTGGCTGAGCTCGCAGATGGAATGAAGGCGGGGCCCCCAAACTGATGTTTCACCACTGATGATTGTGCTTATGGTCTGTGTTTCGGCAGCAGTGATGGAGCTGTGCATGATCACCAGGTGGCTGCTCTTGACGCTCTTCGGCTGGTCCTGGCGGGTCACAGGCAGCATCCCACGACCATTGGCCTTCATAGGTGGCGCCTCTGGAGGAGCAGCAGCTGTGCGGCGTGGATCTATCAGCGGCACACACAAGCGGCCGCGACCATGCAGCAGAACAAGGCACGGCACTCCGCTCACCTTGACGACAGTGATGCAAGCAGGGAAGCCATCTGTTTCAGCTGTGGCCACTAAGCCGCCCAGCCGGGTTCAACCGACCAAGGAGCGTCGACTACTTAATGGCGAGGAGGCGTTATCCGCTGCCGCTCCTGCACCGGTTTCCGACTCCACGTCGCCGACCAGCGAGAGTAGCAATTATCGTCCGCCCTCATGGTTGGGTCGTCGGCACACAGCGGAGACCCGCCGGAAGATGTCTGAGGTGCACAAGAAGAGGAAACCGGTGCCATGGAACAAGGGCAAAAACCTCGACCCAGCACTCAGGGAAAAGATACGAGCTGGTACGGACGTACGTATGGATGCACAGAGGGACGGACGGACGTAGAGAGGGCGGGAGAGAGTGGTGGGAGGCTGGCTGGCTGGCTGGGTGGGTGGGACAGACACAGCAAGCCACGTACGCACGCTTGATGAAGGGATGTCTGTCTGTCTGTCCGTCCATCTGCTTGTGTTGTGTGTTGTATTCTGCCTTGTCTGTCTGCATTCATTCATTTATTGCAATCAGGCGTTGTGCGGCGGAATGAGATAGAGCTTCAGAAGAAACTCAAGGTGGGTCAAGACTTGAGTTTCTTCTCAGTTTGGGTTGTCTTGAATGACTGGCATCGATGAATTAATGAATGACTGGCTATAGAAGTTGGGTTTGAGGACACGTGAGGAGTACGACCAGTGGAGGCGACAACAGCGGGTAAGGTGACAACACCTCGACGTGACGTGCAGCCACCCACCCTGATCTCCTAACTTCTATTAATGCCGTTCTGTGATTCATGTCTGCCTGCCGGCCCCGTGTGTGTGTGTGTGTGTGTGCAGTATTCGCCTCCCCGTACGAATCGTACGGTGTCAGCTGAGTCGCGCCAAAAGATCTCCGCAACCATGAGACGACACTGGGCCAAACCGGAATTCAGACAAAGGGTCGGTCAGCCACCAAGACATCCACACGCAAACAAACCTGTTTGTTTCTCTCCTCATTTCCGCTGCCTTTGTTGGCATCGCATCCATCGCTCAGAATTCCGGTCGTCCTTGTTCCAACAGCACTCGCGCCAAGCTGTCTCGGATCCTCACCAATAAATGGGCACTCGACGATGACTTCAGAAACAAGGTAAGGTACCACACTCCTGCAGCACTGCACACACTACCCTACCAGCAAACAGACACATCGGCTTAGCGGTCTGTTGTGTGTGCTGTTTGTTGGTGGGCATGGCATGTTCGTTCAGACGATCATGGCCCGTTCGCGGGCCCCCTTTCATGGCAACAAGGGCTATCGGCACCCCGAACACGTCAGGCGGAAGTAAGCAAGGAAGGACGTCAGTCAACACATCAAGATTGACGGCCGGCCACACCAGACACACACACCTGCGCACCCATCCGTCCATCCGTCCATCAATCTCTCGTGTGTGTGTGTGTGTGTGTGTGTGTGAGTGCAGGATATCTGCGAGTTTGAAGGCCAAGTGGCAGGAGCCCGAATACCGAGAGGCCATGCAAAAGGCGGTAAGGTCGACTGACTGACTCCCAAACAGACAGACAGACAGACACACAGACAGATGCTGTCGCTTGACTGTCTCTGTCTGTCTGTCTGTGTTGGATGTTTGGTTCATTTGTGCAGATTCAGAGTGCGCTGAGTGACGGTGTCCGTCAGCAGATCGCCGACACGGTGCGGAAGAGGTGGCAGGACCCCCACTACAGGGACAAAATGAAAAGGGCATTCGCCGTTAGGACCACACAACACAGACAACGAATCAGCAACTCACTCAAGTAACTAAACCACACACACACACACACTGCAGCCACTCGGCTACCCTCCCTCCCTCCTTGCTTGTTTACTCACTTGTTCAGGGAGCGTTGGAAGGATGACGATTTCCGCAAGAGGATGGATCTGGCATACGCAGCCTACGCAAGGTGGGCAGGCAAACCGCATACAGTACATGCCTTCCTATCTATAGATAATATAGCTTGCCGGCAACTCAGTTGGTTTCTTGCTGTGTGTGTGTGAATTCATTCGCCCTCACCGTACGTACGCTACGTGTCTGTCCCCCACCCCCAATCAGACGGGTAGGCAACACAGCACAGCACAGCACAGCATAGCCCACCCACCATCCACCACCCACCCAACGGCCATCAACCCGTCGATGGCGGGGCTGTCGGTTCGCTTCATGTGTTGACTGACGCGTGTGTGTGTGTGTGTGTGCTGTCTGTGCAGAGGACTCAGACGGGTCCGTTGAGCGATGAGGTGCGGACCAAGATATCCGAGACACTCAAACGCAGATGGGCCGACCCTGAATTCAGAAGACAGGTGCGTATCCATCGTAACTATCGAGTGGATGGGATATACTACACAGCACGCCTAACCTCTAACCATGCCATATATGCTGTGGTCGCATTCATTCATTCATTCATTTATCGTGTGTGTGTGTGTGTGTGTACTGCACGTCTGCCTGGTGGTCCATCCATCCATCCATGCTGCATGGATCGATCAGCGCGGCGTGTCTCAGTCTCACAGCAGGGTGGACCAGCAGCGAGTCTGGAATGAAATATACCAGGAGATACTTCGGTAAATACGCCAGTGAGGGAGTCAGTGAGGGACAGACACGGAACCCTCCTGCCTGCCTGCCGACGGAATGAATGAATGTATGTTTGTGTGTGTGTAGTGATTCTCCTCTGTTGGGTGAGAGCGACAAGTGGGTGGCTGGCCACGACCTCGAGGTACAGGCACTTCAGTGACTGACGACGCAGGAAGGAAGGGATTTATCCCACAAACCAACGGCGGGGAGGTGAGGGGGAGAGGGGAGGGGGGAGAGGGAGGGGGGAAGGAGGCCGAGAGACAGTGAATTGCGCTCTAAGGTTGGTTGGTTGATTGAGGCCTTCAGAACGCATCCAGCTGGTAAGGAAAGGAGAGGAGAGGATCGCTCAGTATTCAGCTGGCTGCTGAAAGGGACTTGTGGCATGGTGGACGCACTGACTGAGTGGCTGAATGACTCACATGGATGGGACGGCATCAATGTGTGTGTATTCTGGATGTACGTATGCGTCGTCAGTCAGTCACCGTACATACATACACGTATACGTATGTAGGTATCTATGCATTCGTTTCACGTAGACAGACACACAGACAGACACGAGTGAGTGTATGTGATGTAACAAGTCAGACAGACAGACGACTGACTGACTGACTGGTGTCCCGTCACACACACACATTGTCAGAGGTACATAGGCAGGTCACGCACTCACTGATTGTTTGCGATAGACAGACACACACACATACATAGTCGACCCGCCAGGCCTTCCATCCTCCCATCCACCAGTGCACTCACTCATGGCCCCGCTCCCCACCCACCGGTGGGTGACCTGACCCATCCGTCCCGTCTGTCTCACATGTCTGTCACGTCATTCATTCATCCCATTTTGGGTCTGGTATCGAACATCCTGCCGTTGGGGAACATGTGCTGCAGCTCAATGAATCGGTGGTTGCTGCTGTAGCGGACCATCAGGGAGGCCTTGAAATACCCGGCATCGTGCCACGCCTTCATCTGCTCGGCGGTAAACTTGCCCTGCACGTTGCTCTTGGGATCCACATACCTGCAACAATACATACAATCCAGAGGGAGGCCAGGCCACATTATTGCGATGACCGTGTCCCTCCATCCCTCCCTCCCGGGCCGCAGTGCGTGTGGTGTGGTATTGTAGCTTACTCCCAGCATCTGTCTCTGAGTGGGTCTGCCACCTCGTGTTGGTTTGCGATGGGGGGCGGCCGGGACCCCAGCAACGGCCGGAAGGAAGGGTCACTCGTCAGCGGCCCGCGGTAACTCCCACCTGACACATTTTGCTGCTGCTGCTGCTGTTGTTGCTGCTGCTGTTGCTGGATGGCCATGCCGATGGTACCACTGTCGAACCCGCCGCTGGCCATCGGCTGGGGGGCGTATGGCCGGGCCCTCTGCTGCTGCTGCTGCTGCTGCATGGTGGTGTGTTGGTCCTGCTGTTGGATGGGAGGCTGCTGTTGGATGGGAGGCTGGGCTTGCTGCTGCCGATATGTGGCGGTCGGGGCGAACTGAGAGGGCATCTGGCCACCGATACCAGCTTGTGGCAGCTGTTGCTGCTGCTGCTGCTGCTGTGGTGTAGGTAGTCCCTGCTGCCTGCCGGGTGGCTGGTGCTGTGTGAAGGGGGAGGGCTGCGGGGGGCGGGGGGCGGAGCTTGACAAGGCAGACAAGACACCATTCCAGTCGTCAGGGCCGCCTCGCTGATGCTGCTGCTGCTGCTGCTGGTGGAGTGGCTGCTGGACCTGCCGGACGTCCTGCATGGCCCTGTTGGATGGCTGCAGGGGGGCCGGTGCCTGTCCACCGGGGGAAGGATAGTTGGGACGCTGCTGCCGTATCATTTCTTGCTGCTGCTCTTGGGGGGTCTTGGTGGTGGGCGGGAAGGGGGCCTGTCCGAAGAGCTGATGGCCCGGTCGCATGGCGGCAGCAGCGGCGGCACTGGGGTCTTGGGTAGATGGTGTGAATAGAGTCCTGTGTGGGTCGGGTGAGGGTATGTTGTCACCACCTGCCCCTGCCATGGGAAGGAACCCCGGACCCTCACTCCCGCCAACACCACCCTTGGGCAGTCGACCTACAGGGGAAGGGGGCTGCTGCTGCTGCTGCTGTTGGCGCTGCTGCTGCTGAGTGGTGTCCGACGGCATAACCGGCCGTCCAATGGGCTGCTGCAGGGTACCAGTGGTGCGAAGGTCCGGCTGGCCGTACGCCGGGGCCGGGGGCGCACGCCACGAGCCGATGGGACCAATCGAACTGACACCACCTGACACGTCCATCCCATATGGCCATGGCACACAACACAACACAACGCAAATAAAGACCAACAGTGAGTGACAAGTGACATCGACATGACATCAATCATATCTGAAGATGTATGGGGTGGGATGCATGTGGCTTTGCTGACCGACCGACCTTGTGCCACCTGCCCAGTGCCACTGGGCATGTGTGGTTTGTCGTGTCTGTCTTGCCCCGCAGGTGGGCTGTCGGCTGGGGCGTCGGGCGGTAGTTTGCCCTTGTTGATGTTGGCCAGCCAGCTGATCAGATTCTCACCCTTGGACCTGCTCGGCGGTGGCTGCTGCTGCTGCTGCTGCTGGTCCACTGGCGGCGGCTGTGGTGCATTAGCAGGTGGGGGCGGTACGGTGTCAGGTGGGCCTATGGGTCTTGGAGGGGCGCCCCCCGAGGCAGCCAGCAGGCCATTGACTCTGCCGGGTGGCAGGGGCTGGGGGGCGGTCTGGGGGTGGGCAGATTGGGATGCGGACGTCGACAGATAGTTGAGGGCATTCCTCAACAGATTCACGCGGCCCTCGCCACGCCCGTCACCCACAGCCCCGGCAGCAGCGGCCGCCGGTGGCTTCTGGTTGCTCAATGCTGCCTCACTCGGGGATGAAATGGGGGGCGCCTGTGCGTCGGGGCCGCCAGCAGCAGCGTCCACCTGCTGCTGCTGCTGTGATGGGCCTGGAGGGGTGGGGCGACTCTCGGGTGGTGGTGGTGGCTTGGCTTGTTGCTGGGCTGCTGTGTCGACGGTTGCCTTGGGCTTGGTGGGCTGACCACCCTCGGTGGGTGGGTGTTGAGGGGCAGGCGGGACTGCCTTGGGGGCAGCTGCCTCCGGGGTGGGAGCTCTCTTGACCGCTGGGGGGCCGCCCGACAATCGTGTTGTCACGTCAGATCTCTCAACATCTGCAGAGGTCATCGCATCCAAGGAAGGAAACCAGACAGACAGACAGACGGATGGATGGATGGATGGATGGATGGAGGTTTCCTCTTGAGATGTTTTGGTGCGTACGTACCTTTGTCCTTGTCCTTGACTTTGTCTGGGGCGGAAGTGTCTCTGCCAGCGTCCTCCTTGTCGCCCTCTCTGCGGTCCTTGACCTTGACATCCTCGACCTTGGTCGGCTGTGCCTCGGATGGCTCCCCGCCGGCCTCTGGTGGCTGCTCCTTGTCCTTGTCGCGCTGCTGAGCCTCCTTGTCACGCGCCCCTGCATGCATCAATCACATCAGGCAGGGCAGGCAACAAGCGAAACAAACACCACACCCACACAAACATGGTGCTGTGACTGCGGTGGGTTGGGGGGTGAGGGTCTCTTCTCTGGTGGGTGGGTGGGTGGGTGGGTGGGTGGGCGTGTGAGTGGTGTGTGTATGTAATGTAGCGTGTGTGTGTCTTTGTTGTCTTGTGCGGCCGCACCTACCAGCAGCAGCGGCTCGTCGTGCCCCCGGAGGTCGGTACACTCCAGGCTTGGATGTCGTGTCGTCCTCCAAATTCAGATTCGGCTTCTCGGGGGGACTGCAGTGCAGTGCACGCAACACAAGACGGACAGACGTACAGGAGAGGAGACATACATACATACAGCAGACATGGCCCGTCCGGGCGGGATGGAAGCGTTGGTTGCCTTTTGCCTGACTGACCTGTATACGCCTTCCACTTCAGGTCTCCAAGCGACCTCAAACACCTCCGAAAACTGCTGACTCGCCAACACCTTACCTGGACGGACAGCACACATAGCAATGAACGAACAGGCAGCCGAAGCACACGCGCGTCGGCAATGAGTGCAGTGCATGCCGTGCGGTGAGAAGAGGTGGGCCTGGCCTGTTGTCCCCCCCAGCTACCCAGAGGCAGGCCCACCTTCACAGTTCCAAATGGTGAATCCGTTGTCGACTCTTCGTCTGGGTGCGAGGACGGCCGTGAGAAAGTGCCGGCCGTCAGGAGCCCAGTCACACGATACAGTGCACGCGGCCTTGGACGAACATATCTTGCGCATCGTACGAGCCGCCGCATCGCGATACCAGAAGTCCATCTCACCTGTTCATGTGACACACACACACACGCATCAAATCAACCCATGGAGGGAGGGAGGAGGATGGGATGAATGGGCCCGCTTCCGTGGCTGGCTGGCTGGCTGGCTGGTGGGTGGGTGGGTGTGGTCGACTGACCGGCGAGGTTGGCGAAGCCGCCGATGCACACGATGGACCCAAATGCATTCCACCTGCACAAACAACACAACACAACACAGAATACACAGGTGTGTCTATCGACTGCCGTGTGGGTGTGGTGTGGTGTGGAGTGGTGTCGTGGTTGTGCAGTGCAGTCAGTCAGTCAGTCGGCCTGCCGACCCACCGACCGTATGGTGTTGCGATATGCCTTGCCGAAGTCGAATCGCTGCTCGCACTTCTTGCCATCATATAACACTATCGCTGATGGAGGGATGCATTTCATTCAGACACCCAGAAGGCAGACAGAATAAACGACCATGATGTCATTCATGTGGTGCTATGCTATGAATACGTGTCAGTCATTCGTCGTGTGTGTTGTGTTGGTTGATTACATGCGGGTGTGGCGCCTGAGATGAGAATAAATTCGTCTCTGACGGGGCTCCACTTGACGTCGGATGCGGTGCCGATGACCTCTACCTCCTTGACTGCCACCTTGTCCTTCAGGCCCTGACGGATGAGCGACTCCAGCTGCACCCACCACACCTTGCTCTTGCCGTAGTAGAAACAGCCAGACTTGTCCTCGTCGTTGTGCGTGTGCACCAGCAGCGCGTTGCCCGACGCAGACCACAGCAGGTCCACCTCGTCGGCCGTCACGTCAGCACTCACACTCGCGTCGACTGGCGGCGGGGGGCTGACACCCAGCTTCATGCCGCCCCCACCCTGCATGCCGCTCAACACACTCGCAGGCGGGGCCCGCACCGCACGCAGCGACTCCACGGTGGTCTCCTCCTTGACTACCATGTCGTACACCTGCACACTCGCGATGCCCTTGGCCTTGGACTTGACGAACGCCGCCAGCATCAGCCTCTTGCCCTTGGTGCCAACGCCCGACGACGACGACGGCCCATCGAAGCCGTTCTGGCGCGCATGTGCGTGAGAGGGGCCGGGCGAGGACGGGAGGAGGGCCGTGGTGTCGATGGGGGCGATCTCGAAGCAGCAGAGGTTCTCGATGGGGATTCGCATCTTCATGGTGCCCTTGAGGGTGCCGTCGTAGACACGGATCTCGGGCACAGCCGAACCCCTCGGGCGCGGACCGGGGCTCGAGTTGGGGCTCTGCACCGCCGCATTGGTGGGGGCCGTCAGGGCCGCCCACTTGTCCTTTGGCGGGGGAGCGGTCGTCGTGGTCCCACCACCCTCCCCACTGCCCTCGTCCTCTCGACTGGTGTCGTCTGTCGTCTGTCCAGCTGCTCCATCGGCCATCTTGTCAGTGTCGTCTGCAGGAGGCGGCAGTGCGTTGGCATTTGGGTTGGCTGTGGCGGTCTGGTTGGCGCTGGTGTCTCGGTCGGGGACGAAGAAGATGCAGCACAGCTGCTCATCTGCCGTCCATCGCAGGGCCGGCCAGTGGTACTTGGTGGGGATCCTCTTGACGCTCAGCGACGCGACCTTGCGGCCGTCCTTGGTGGTCCACACGAAGGTGTTGCAGGGCGCCCACACTATGCCATCGGACGGTGGGGGCGAGGCAGGTGGGGGGGCCGCAGATGGGGACGGGCCGTTCTCGAGCACCGACATCTGCTCCTCGGGCACAAACAGGGGATCTACACACATACAAACATACATACAGGCACAGCACACAACACAAGACACGTACACAACTGGGGGGCGGGTGGGTGGGCGGATATCACCGACCGACCGACATGATGGATGGAGGCCAGACGTGATCTGATCACCCACTGGACTGACCTTTGAGTGGCATGGTTTGCTGCTTTCCATCCATGGGTGCGTAGGTGACGAGGTAGGTGGACAGCGGCGACCAGTGGATGCGATTGACTGCCGTGCCGTCCCCGCCAGGGATCAGCACCGACCTCTGCAGGCTAGAGGCGTCCACTGGCGTGGGCATGGCCCCTCCAGGCCCGTCCATGTCATCGCGGTGGGAAGACTTGCCGCCCTGTCGTCGTCTACCCATATCCCACGACGGGTGCTGATGGATCGATGACACGTGTGCACAATGATCCAATGAATCGATTGGCTGGCGTGTGTCTGCCCTGTTTTCTTGTCCTTCGTGCAGTTGTGCAAGTGTGCCGTGCCGTGTGGTGTGGTGTGGTGTGGTGCGCACCCGTATGATGGAGACTTCCCTGTTGGAGCCGACAGAAGCCAGCGAACTGCCGTCCGTCGCCCAAGACGCAATGTCGATCTTACCAAGCTGATACGACCGATACACACGGGCAGAAACACACATGCACAAACCGTTGGCAGGAGAGCACGAGTGGCAAGAGAGCAACGAGCAAGCCTGTTCTCTCTCTGTGTGGTCGATGCGATGCTCCCTCTCTCAAGGCTTCCGTCCCAAATCCATAGGTACGTACCTTGACATCATCCCATTTGTCGTCTCCGTCGCCCTTGGAGAATACGGTGCACCCGTCGCGGCCTCGTAAGAGAAACGACACGCTCGGACATCGCGGTGGCTGAGGCATACCGGACGGACCCACCAACACACCGACCGACCGACGGGCAAACACGCACCGCACTGACTGACTGGCACACCGACCGGCCGGGCCGAGTGGGTGGGTGGGTGGGTGGGTGGACGGGAGGGAGGGAGTCTCCTCACTCACTCACGGACGCACCGCACCGCAGCAGTGGCACTAGCTGTACGAGAGGATGGCGGATCGAGGCAGGCCGAGGGCAACGAGGGCACGACGACGACGGTGGACGAGATGCAACAACACGCAACCGACCTGAAGGCCACGCAACCAGCCTGCCGTTCACAGACAGATGAAGGAAGGATGGATGCAATTAGCCACACACGCGGCGCTTGTCTTTTGGCACTCTCACCCAGGGACCCTCTGTGAGAGTTCGGGTCAGGCAGGGCAGGCTCGGCTCAGCGGAGCTGTCCTCTCCTCGTGCTCCGCTTCTCCCGCAACTCGGCGGCCGCGCAACCACAGTGTCGCCGCCCGCAGTCGCGGATCTAACCAACAGCTTCGCGGTTTGCTTTGGTACTCCGTCGTTGCGTTTCTCGTGAATCTTGTCACATCTGCGATCTACTCAGCTCGCACGTGCCTCAAGGTCCGTGGCAAGAGGTAAGCGTTGTGACACAGATACGTACGTACGGAAACCATTCATTTGTCATGTTTGTCCCCTTCAGCAGCCAATCAATGCGATGTTGGAGTCGTTGCCCCAGAGCGCATCCATAGCTTTAGACGCCTCATACTTGGGGCTTGCATCTGTGCTCCCTGATGCCCCGCTGGTCTCCCCGAGCCTCACCAACAACCTCCAACAAACCATACTGGCACACCAACTCGGGTAGGTACTTACTGGACGCAGCGCACGTCAGCATACCAGACTGGCCCACACGTGTGGCCGACTGACTGACCGCACAGCACCACATTCATTCATTCATCGTTGTTTGTTTGTTGCTTCATGCCATCCATCCATGGTGTTTGTTGTGGGATATATGTGTTGTTGGTTGTGTTGTGTGGTGTGTCAGGCTGGCGTTGAGTGTGTTGGCGGCGAGCATGGGCTCTCTGGGTGTGTTGGTGGAGTGGAATGCGGGTGTGTTCATCGTCATAGGCCTGGTGGAGGTGCTGCTCTCCTCCTGGCAGCTGCACTTCGCATCACTGCTCTCCAAACCCGTCGTCCTCGCAGCTGCACTCAGACTCGCTATCGGTGCGCCTGCCGCAGACAGCGTCCGTCCGCCTGTCTGTCTGTCCACTTGGCTGCATTGCGATGCATGTGTGCCCTCCTTGATTTGATTGGTCAGGTGTGTACAATGTGGTGGTGCCTGCGAGTGTGGTGTTGGAGCCCGTCCTCCGAGTGCTGTCCTATCTCCCCATGCGGTTGCGGCGCACCTTCATCTCCCCCCCCAACCTCACACGCATCGCCTATCGCTATCTCGCCAACACTGTCGCCAAAGTATTCACACTCGAGTGGTGGCTCTCCGAGCGCTCAGATGTGGTCGTCAAGCCCACGTCTGCTCCGCTCCTGTCAGTGAGGCGCCTGCTCCCGAGGCTGCCACGAACGGGTTTCACTGTCCGCACCACCAGCAACAGCAGGTCTAACAGAAGCACCAGCACTACCATGAGCAGCAAGGGCGACCGGAGGGCTTACAGGAGGCCGCGAGTGCGGGTGGGACGGCGAGGGCTCTTTGGGCGGCACCGTGTGCTCTCTGCGGTCAAGCGGCGACTTTCTGTGCTGGAGCCTGGCTCACTGATCTGACTGACACCTCACTCACAGGGATGATTAATCAATCGACTGAGAGAGACCCTTGTTGCGTTCTTGGATCATTCCGCCATCATCCATTCGATCTTTCCTTCACCTGCGTGTCTGTCTGTCTGTCTGTCTCTCTGTCCGTCTGTCTGTCTGTTGGCCCATCGATACGTACGTACATGCATACTAACATCGATCTATCCATTCGTGTGCCTGACTGTACAGCGGAGGGGAGGGGAGGGGGGACGGCTATCTATATAGAGTGATGTATGTGATTGAATCAAGTGACTTTGCCAGGCACCTGAAGGCAGGCAGGACACACAGAAAGCGCGTGGCTGTCCTGTCGAGTGGATGGATGGATGGACGGATATATGACTAGGTAGTGAGTGTGTGTGTAAGGTAGGCTAGCCGTAGGTGTGTGTGCATGTGTGTAGGGAGGGAGGGAGGGAGGGCACCGTACGTGTGTTGCGTACCGTGTATGCCATCATGGAGCCCTGCTGGTTCCCTTCGTTGTTCTGCATCAGGGACACACAGACAGACAGACAGACAGACAGACAGATGGACGGACGGACGGACAGACGACATGCATAGATGGATGGATGGATGGACACTGTCGTCCGTCCGTCTGACTGAGTCTTGCAAGCCCCAGCCAACCAACCACCCCTGTCTGACTGACTGACTGACCAAGACGAGGATAATCGTGAAGCGCCAGGTGGTCGAGTCCAAACCTGAACCAACGAAAGCCAACCCACACACACGTGGGCAGCAAACCGTGAGGGTGTCCCGTGTGGATCCTAGCCCGCACTGGGTGAAGGTTTTGTCTCTTGTTGTGAGTGACAGTCATTCGCCTACATCCGTAGAGGGGCCAGCCTGGAAAGAGGTGGAAGAACTGCACACACCCACAGACAGACAGACAGACAGGCGTTCAGCTCCTCCAGACGCATGCCATGCCATCGAAGCGCAGGGCTCTCTCTCTCCTCGCATCCATCCATCCATCCATACATAGATGTAAACATACGGTGATTGCAGCGATGAGTTCTTTGGCGGTGAAGACCATCTCAGCCGGGGCGGGCAACGCCGAATTAGCTGACTCAACCAACCAACCAAGAGTAAGCCAGAGGCAGGCGGCGGACAGACACAGAGACAGACAGACATGCATGGGGCGGACGCATACATGAAGTCATGCTTTACTGAAATTTATGCCTCCCTGCCTCCCCCTGCGTCCCGCCCACCATCTCCCTCCCTCCCTGGGTGGCGTACCGGTGGGATTGATGAATTGGTTGTGATTGAAGACCGCCTCCACCTCTCCATCCGGGTGAACTGAATGAGTCAATCAAGGACACAAGGCACCAGCCAGCAACGTTACACCAAACCACACACACACACACACACACACAACGGTTGGTGTGTGGATGCATTGGGTCGAGTCGAGGGTGCTCACTGCCTGAGACGGTGATAGCGACCTCCGCCTGTGCCATGTTGTACTGCGGTGCGTCCCCGGCTCCCGCCCCTGACTGCCCACCAGGCTGGTATCCCGCTATGGGTGAGTGTGAGAGCTTGATGGCGATGTCGTCACAGCCCATGTGCTTCATCTTCTCTACCAACTGCTTGAGCTTCACCACCGGAGGCAGCTTGAACTGCCACTGCGTAAACAGTCAGGTCCGTATGTGTAGTGTGTGTATGTCCTTCCTGTGTGTGCCCACCTACGTACGTACCTCTGGGTTTCCCAAGTCAAGTTGATCTAAACCATGGAGTTCATCGGCCCTCTGCACTTGAACTGGACACTCCTGAAAGGGCAGCCAGGCAGCCACCCGGTGTCCACTGTATGTACTGTAGGGGTCTGTCTGTCTGTCAGTCCGTCTGTCGGTCGGCCGGTGAGTGGTGACGTGACGACAATCAATACCTGAACGACACTATAGTCGGAGTTGGGCATTTGCAGCTCGAAGCTCAACACGGGGAACCCATGGCGCCTGCAGACACCCAACACACGCACTCCGGTGACGCATTGCAATGCATTGGATCATTCAGGAGCCATCGGTGCACTGCATCCCTGTGGTCTGTGTGTCTGTGTGTGTCTGTGTGTGGCGGCCATGGATTTACTTGGCTAGTTTGCATACGGTGAGTTCTGCAGTGACCATGTCCTTGACGGCGGTCCAGAGGTCGTCAAGTGAGCAGCTCAGCCCGATGACGTTGTTGTTCTTGCTCTCCACCAACACGTCGTAGAAGAAACGACCCTGACCACAATCAATCAGTCACTCAATCAAACACACACTCTACTCGGGGCCCTGCCCTGCCTGTCGTGGGAGGGATGCGATGTGCCCTGCGACCACCGTGAATGTAGGTACGTACCATGAAGAGGTTGCAGGCGGCAGTTCCGAACAAGGGGCGGATGAGCATCTGGTCGCTGGTGATCTTGATCATCGACGACATGCTGGCCACGCCCTGTAAGGCATCGCTCTGCGTCGCCTGGGTGGTGCTGGTGCTGGCCGACGTCCCCGGGCCACCTGACTTGCCGCCCTGTGAGCATGCTCGATGCAGCGCTTGAATCGCCTCTGGACTCACGCACCACGCAAACATCCGTGGGAAGGAATGGGGAATGGTGATGACTTCCACTTGCTTACTTACGAAACAGTCCTCAGACTCCTGGTCCATAAAGCGGTCAGCACACAGCCACACACATGCAGGAAACCACAGACAGAAGCCACACACACTTTCATGAGAGATCTTAGGCAGCCCAGGCGTGAGTCATGCGGCTGACCTTCCTCACATACGCACGGAACTTCATGACTTCCACGCCGGTCGGGCCTGTTGCGAGCTCGAATTCGTCAGCCGTTTGTTTTGACCGTTTTTCTGTTTTTTTGTTGGCGGCGACAAATCTTCTTTTTTTTTGCCCATGGCAGTTGTACGTACATGGAACATATTCTGTTGCAGCTGCGCATGCCCAGCGATTTCCTGCTGTTGTGTGTGTGCAGACGCTCGTGCGCTCCCCGCGAGATTTGTCTGACTTTCTGCTTCCCAAGGCGCCTGTCGCTGTGGGGCCTGGAAGCTATCCCCCGGGTGAGGCGCCCCCTTCCCCCCCGTCCACCACGAGGACAGGCGTGTTCGCGCCCTTCGGCAGCTTTCAGAAGAAAGTTCTCAATGCAAACACGGGAGACAGCTTCTACTCACCAGGTCCTTCATTCACTTCAGACAGAACACCCCGCACCACCAGAGATGCAGCCGGGTCCCTCTTGCACTCCCTTGACTCTTGTGGTGTCATGATTTGCAGGGCCCGGTGCATTCTTCCTTGATCAGGCGCCCCTGCCTTCTCCTCGCGGCGACACGAGCTCATTCAAGTCACTCACACCCAGATTCGCACAATCAGCATACAAACTCGAAACACCAGGTGGGGGTGAATGCATTACTGACTGCCCATCGAGACACGTACGTACATACTTACATAATGTATGTACATAAACACCTGGGCCTGACCTGGGAGGTCCACTGATGGATGAATGGTGTGCACGTGTGGCCTGGCCTGGCTGTGTGCAGGTCCAGGTGAGTATGGGTCGTGCAAATCGACGAGGGTGGGTCAGGCGACGTTCGACGGGCAGGATGGTGCCCGTCTCTCAGCGTCTCAGAGGGCGGCCCCACTTGTGCCAGTACTGCAGCTGGAGCAGAGCAGCCCGTCGATCCCCCCCAACCTCCACCGCAAGACCAACCTGCCTCATTCGGGCGGCAGGGCCATGGTCACACTCCTAGACGATATACCAGCTGGCTCACAGGGCGTATTCCACACCGGTAAGTATGTGAATAAACACATGAGTAAGTAGCTGACACGTACGTACTGTACATACATACACAGATATATGTGTACGTTGATTGACTCACTCACCGACTGGCTGACTGACTGACTGACGCAAGAATGCGATGTCCATCCACTCACTAACTAATGCATGGATGGATGGACAATCTTGGTCAATCTTGATTGCAGGTGAGAGTAATGACATGCCTTCGCCAGGTACGTGCCTCCCTGCCTGAAACAAATGTGTCTCGATCAAGGGGTGGTCTAGCTCAGCTGTATGTATGTATCTATTTCTTGGTTGATTGCTTCATCGATCAGGGAGCTACAAGATCGTGAGTGACGATGGTCGGTGTGCGACCAACTTCCACACGAGCAGGACCCAGAGACAGCTGCTGTGGGAGCTGTCGGGCAGCCTCACAGAGCGGAGGGCGCGCGAGCGGGCAGACGGACTCACTAACGCGGGACTGTTCGCCACTTCACAGCTGAGGAAGCCACCAAAGGTAGGCAGGGAGGTAGCTGGGTGGGTATGCATGATTGTATACATACATCTATCTATGTAGGGCGGGAGGGAGGCAGGGAGGCAGGGAGGCTGTCCGTCCCTTCGTCCCTTTGTTGCTTGTATTGTCTTGTCTTGTCTTGTATTGTCTTGTCTTGTATTGTCTTGTCTTGTATTGTCTTGTCTTGTCTTGTCTTGGCTGGCCTGGCCTGTTGGTGCAGCATCTTGTTAAGGAGGCCCAGAGGCAGTCTGAGGCTGCCAAGGTCCCCCGCCTGCCCTCTCCCCTGCCTGCACGGGCACCTACGGACGATCGCGACACCACCGATGCAAAGTCATGCAGGAGTGCATTCGTGTCAAAGGTAGGTAGGTAGGTAGGTGGGCACAAACAACACCACACACAACACCACAGACAGACAGACAGACACAAACTCACCCGGCCAGCCGGCCGGCGTGATGTATGTATGTATGGATGTCTGTATGTCTCTGGTCCCTTAGGTGCGTCGGATTGCGCCCACGGTGTCAGCGTCAGGTGCGAATGAACGGATGCATTGCAATGGATGGAAAGCCGACACGCATCCACCACCCCATTTGCCTGCCTGTCGTCTGTCTGTCTGGTCGTCCATGACACATGTATGTCAACGTGTAGGTCCGATCGGTCCGGGTGCGTATCTTCGTCTGTCTGACGCGTCCAAGACGTCCACGGTGGAGACAGACAGAGGGCCGCACGCACCTTTTGGCTCACTCAGCCCCGCACGGATGCCGCAAAACAGACTCATCGAACAGCCATACACAGGTACAGACAGACAGACGGACGGACGGACGGACAAACACACAGACCGCACAGACAGACAGACGGATGAGCAAGTAAGTCGTGCCTCTCTCTTGTGTGTGTGTGTTTATGTGTGTATGTGTGCGCGAGTCGATCAGATCCCACGTGTGTGACGTCGAGTGTTCCAGTGGGTGCGTATGACCTCGTCAAGGATGCATCCACAAGGACTCTCGGGCCTGCCGTCACCGCATTGTATGCAATATGCATGCATACATACATACATACCCACTCACGGCAACCAACTGACCACCATACATCCAGCCAGCCTGCCTGCCAGCCTTTGATGCTGTGACTGGCTGCAGCGTCTGTCAGCGTGGGAGCATCCCGATGTCCATGAGCCGTGTCATCAACCCGTCCCTCGTCATGTTCCTCAAAGAGTCCACAGGTAGGTACCTAGATGCTCACGGCACCGACAGACAGACAGTGAGAGACATTCACGTGCTACCTGCCTGACCACCCCCGTCTCCCTACCTGTCTCCCTACCTGTCTTCCGTCCGTTTCCTATCGTGTTGCCGCATCCATCCATCCATTCATCCATCTATCCATCCGGCGTGGTGCACTGCACTGCAGGTCGTCCTTTGCAGGCCTTCCTCACCACTGACGAGCGACCCTGCCTCAAGAGCACCGTCTCACCCGCACACCAATCGCCGGCAGGTCAGCCATGAACATTGTCCCTGCCGTGCCACACAGACGGGCGGATGCTGCCTCGCACAGGCTGGCGTATGTTCTATATCATGTATGTGTGTGTGCGTGCGTGCGTGCGTGTGTGCGTGTGCTGCCTCCTGCAATTATGCAATCAGTTGGTGACTACGGGACGGATTTGAATGCGACAGTGGGCAGCATCTCAGCGCGTGTTAAGGAGATGGCCACGGTGGGGCGGTTTGGCAAGTTCGCGGCCACGAACGACAACAGGTGGGCATTCAACCCCGCCAATCCACTGAATCCCGACCCCCGGCGGACCCGCGGCCCCTCGGCGCCCTTCAAGTACAACCCCAAGGCGGCGGCTGGCGACACACACGGCAGCCGAACACCCTTCATCTCGCGCACAGCCAGATTCAGAGCTCTCGACAGCGCCAACCCCCACTTCTTCAACACCTCGCCAACCCCAAAACACGTAAGGTTGTATGTATGTATGGACACACGTGTGCATCTTAGAAAGACTCATCCACAACTCCCCCGCCCATGATTGACATCGGTCCCTATATGTATGTACGCATTGTGTCTGTCTGTGTGTGTGTATGTCTGCATGTCTGTGCATTTGCATACATGTGCTTCCTTCCTTTGTTTGTTCTATAAGGTCGGTGGTGAGCAGGCAGCTCCTGCGCCAGTGCGGGCGCAAGGAATTGAAGGGCGGAAGTCTTTGTGTTCCTTCGGAACCACCACTCCACGACTCACCGTCATGTCCAAGGCAGAGGACACACCAGGTACATACAGTGCGGCCAACAACACACACATACACACACACTACACAGGGAGGGAGACAGACAGACAGACATGTCAAGAAACAGGAGAGACGGGGGATGTGTGTATATATATATACATGTGTGTGTGTGGGCTGTCTGCCCCTTACTTATGTGTGTGTCTCTCGACTCACTCCCTCAGCCCCGGGAACCTATTCGCCGGCGGGTGGAAGGCGGGAAACCTCTGAGAGTTTGATGCGCAAGGTGTCTGCGAGAAGATTCGAGTGGCAAATGTCGGCTACGGTACCTACACTTGCTCCGGGGTCGTACGAACTGGGGCGCGGCTTCTTGCGTACGACATACAACGTGTCGCTGGTACGCACACCACATGCCATGTCATGTCACCTTGTGTGGTGGGAATTTTATTGTGCAATTTGCCGGACATGTAGTCATTCATTGCGTTGACTCTGTCGGTGTTGATGTGCACAGGCTGATCGGGTTGCACCCGAGAGGACACAGAGCCCTCGGTCAAAGAAAGGAGATACTTAGTTAAAACAGCTGCGTTGACTCATGCATACCATGCAAACACACACAGATAGACAGACACATTCACACACATGTTCCTTCCTCCTTCCTCCCTTTGTGTCTGGCCAGTGCCTGCTTCCCATCTACTATATATGTATGCAATGCATGGATGCAGGACGTGTGTGTCTCTTGCACTGCTGATGCCTAGCTACACAGGATCTCTGTCTGTCTGTCTGTCTGTCTGCAGCTACTTTGTCCGTACGTATGTATGCATGTATGTGCTGGTCATGTGTGTATGTATGTATATGATAGATACAACGACGATGGATGCACTCATCTCTCACTGTAGCTGACCGACCTTCACTGTCTCTTTGTCTTGCTTGATTGGTCCTGTCCTGCTTCTTATTGCCGACCACATGATGTGCTGGTTTCAGGTAGCCAGTTGTGTAAGCCATTCGTCCCGTGGCTGCTTCCGCAAGAGATCTTCCGCGATCGACGGGGCCGCAGGGGACTCACTCATCGCACCACAGATGGCCTGCAGTCCAGTCAGAGAATTATCCACCATAGTGAATCAATGACCACGTTGATGTATGTATGTATGTATGTATGTATGGGGAGCAACTCGAATACATACCTGTATTTGCGCGGCTGAGTAGGTCTGGAATGACTCCTTGTGCAGTGGCGGGAAGTCCTTGGCCGTCACAGCAACGGTCTCCTCGCGAGACGCACCACGACGACCTTCGCGAGCAAACACAAGGGCATCCAGAGCACTCGCATGCAGCCCTACGTACCTCTGCTGGTGTATTTGTAGGGTTGCGGTCCGCCTTTGGGATGTCTCTGTCTGTTGTCGTTGTCGTGGTTCCTATAGGGTGCGTTCCGGCCCCCGCCCTCCTGTGGGGCCGCCTGCTTGGACGGCGGCCCTGCTGCCGGTGGTGAAGGCGCCGGTGCTGGTGCTGGTGCGGGGGGAGGGGGGGGAGGGGGCGGGGGAGGAGCTGCATGACACAACACAACACAACACAACGCAAACCAACCAATAGAGGAATTAGTTAGTTGGACAAGAACCTCTCTTGGTGCCATCCTGCTAAAAAGTCAATCATTCATTCACCCACTTATCCATCCATCCATCTATCTATCTATATATCTGTCTGTCTGTGGTGGTGTGCCGGTGTCTGTCTGTCTGTCTGTCTGTGGTGGTGTGCCGGTGTCTGTCTGTCTGTCTGTCTGTGTGCCACATGGCTGACGTGGCGGGGGTTGGTTGTGTGTCATGGGCATCTGCATGTGAGGCATCATGGGCATGCCGGGAGCCCACATGGGCATGGGGAAGTAGGGAACGGGCACGAAAAAGACGCTGCGGGCCCCCTCGACGGCCGGGGGTGTCGAGAGTGGCATTGCACCCCCAGTTGTGGGGCCACCGAAGCCGCCCACGGGGTAGGGGAAGGAGGGGTAGGGGAAGGAGGGGTACGCCGGCGGCAACGGGTGAGATGCTACTGCATGGGTACCACCTGCTGCACTCGACGGGGTGCTGATGCCGGCAGTCTCGCTCTTGATCGACGGATGACACGGACGATCTGAATGAACCAACCAGGCAAATAGGCAACCAACCAACGGGACAGTTCCAGGTGCAGCCAGGGCGGATTGCAGGCAGTGCGGAATGAATGGATGAATGCATGTCTACCTACCTACCCTTCAATCGCTGGCCTTGCAGCCACAGCGCCTGGCCAGTCAGACAGTCAGTCACACACACAGCATGCCATGCCATGCCACCAACGCCCGCGTACGTACGTCTGTGTCTGTGTATGAATGTATGTATGTGTCGCCAGTCAGTCTATCATCTCTGCCTTCCGACTCTGTGCTGACTGACTGACCACTTTCTGGACCACTGCCTCGTCCACGTCGAGCTTGATGAAGCAGGTGTTGTTGACATCCTTGCCGCACAAAGACACACACACGCACACTTCCACCAGAGATCCCAGGCAGCGGCCAGGGGGGAATGCATGCATGAGTCTGCCTTACCTTCCAGATGGACGGCGGCGTGTCGAGCGACGCGAGGTGAGGGCAGCGTCCTGCACTCGCCTCGCCGCATACAACACGCATGTTGGCTGGCTGGGGGGGGTATTTGGGTGTGCGTCAGACTGTGTGTGTGTGTGCGTGTGTACCCAGGAGAACTTCAATGTCACCCTCGATGACGTCTTCGCCCACATCACGCAACTGGAGTGAAGCGGTCACAGCGAGGAAAGCACGATCCCACATGCACAGCCATCCATATGGTGTGTGTATCAGTCTGCCTGCCTTGATAGTTTGGCGAGGGTGGTGGTGGTCCAATACCTCCACCGAATCGTCGTGGGTGGACACCGCTTGAGGGGTTTCTGCCGAATCAGCCATTAGATCTGCCGCCACAAGGCTTAGCACCACAAACCCAACGCTCTTGAGAAATCCCAGATCCGGCTGCGAGCTAAGCTCGCTGCAGATTTTTGAGTCAAGCAATATTCAGCAAAGGAGCGCTTCTCTGTCTGCGTCATCTAGGCCTCCCTCGCCAGAGATCTGGCACCGTGTGAGTGCCGATGTCGGCTTACAATGTATTTGTGACAGCACAGGTGAGAAGAATACATTCGTCTGTCGGTTTGGGTAATCCACTCATGTCTTCTTGTATGGTGCTGTATGTCCCCGACCAGCCCGCCACGGCCGTGTCGGTGGCATGCACAGCCCACTTCCGCCACGCCGCCCCGAGCGACCACACCATCGGCGCATCATCTGGTGCCGCCGCCGCCGCCGCAGCCAGCGCCAGCAACGACGGCTCGGCATACCCTGACCTCATCTTGGCCAAGCGAAGCCGTCTGGAGGTCTTCAAGCCTATCTGCCAACCAGTAGAGCAAGACATGACAGACATGGACGAGGGTGAGGGTGACAGTGGTGGCGGCGGGGATGAGGTGCGGTTGGAGCCCGTGCTGAATGTGCCCATCTACGGCCGCATCTGCCTGCTGCAGCCATTCCGCCCAACCGGCACAGCCAAAGTGAGTCGGGTCGGCAGTTGGGGAGGATGTATGCATGCATGCGTTGCGCGCCTCTCTGTCTGTCTGTCTGCCTGTGTGTAGGACCTGCTGTTCGTCACGACAGAGAAACAGCAGTACTTCATCCTCTCATACGATAGCACGCGGCAGGTCGGTGGTCTTTTGTCCTCTCCCAGTCTTCATCTTGACCTCCATCCCTTCTTGCTTGATGCATGGCATGCAGGAAATACTGACGCTCATGCATGAGGAGTACAAGGTGAGTGTTTCTAGATACACACACACGTGCCCTCTGGGAACAGTGCACCAGCCCATGTGAGTGTTCGTTCATCCCTCCCTCCCTGTCCGTCTGTCTGTCTGTCTGTGTGTTGGTGTATAGGATGCGACAGCTCGTCCCGTCCAAGACGGTCACCGGTGCTGCATCCATCCTGACGGGCATGTGATCGCGCTGCAGTACTACGAGAGCCTCCTGCGGATCATCCAGATATCTGACCTGGGCGGCCGACGGCTGGAAATCAAGGAGGGCTTCAACGTCAGGCTGGACTTCCTGGACGTCATCGACATGACGTTTCTCCACACACGAGGACACACTACCCACACACACACCGACATGGCCAGCAATGGCATCATGGCACAAACACACCCCGTCATCGCCATCCTCTACGCAAAGGACGCAGACGACACACATGGAGGTACGGACGGGAGGGAGGAGGCACACACACAGGAACGCACATACACACACACAACGCCGATAGCACTGCTTGACCGAGGCTAGTTCCTTCCTTCCTTCCTTGCTGCCTGTGTTGCTGTCCATCCATTCCCTCCCTCCCTCCCTCCCTGGCTCCCTCCCTCTTTGTCTGTCTTCCCTGCCTGCTGGTCCACCACGGCACGGCATCCAGGTGCCACCACAGCAGGGAAGCGAGGTCTGAAGATACTGGAAATCAGCACGAGCGAGCGTACCAGCCTGGACTTCGGTAGCAGTGTGGGACAAGAGACCGATGGTGCAGCGGGGCCCGGTGGCCTCGACGTGGACGTCGACGCAGGTGCCACCCGGGTGCTGGCGCTGCCCCCGCCGCTCAACGGGCTGTTGGTCTTGGGGCGTGCGTCCATCAGCTACCTCTACAACCTCCCCGGCACCCGCCATGACACCAGGACGAGTGGCAGGCAGGGTGGCCAAGGCAAGAAGAAACGGACGGGCAACGACGCCTTCGGCCCTCAACAGCAGCAACACGTCACCCTGCACACCCCATCGGGGGCGCTGGGTAGGGAAACCATATCCATACAGCCTGTCGAGGTGAGTCAGTGAGTGCCCACACACGACGGACGGACGAACGTCTGTATACATACATACGTTCGGACACGTACGTCATCCCATCCAAGTAGCACGTACTTGCACGCGTAGTGCCTGCCCCCTCCCTATGTTGTGCCTGCAGGTGTCTTGTGTGGTGGCGGCCAATTCGAGCCAGGACAGTTCCAGTGGTGCTGTTCGGCAGCGCTGCATAGTTGGAGACAAGCGGGGCCGTCTGTTCGTCCTTCACGTCGTCGGCCACAAGTGAGCAGGACAGGCGCGGCGCCACCAAGAAATGCAGTTCACTGCTCTGTGTCCGCTACGGCATTCTGACGCACGCAGGGGTGCCCGCGAATCTGCATCCTCCGCAAAGGCACCTATGGAGGGTGCGTAGGCCGTATGTCACAAACGGCACGATCATGGCCGAAGGTCATAACTCTTTGCTCTCTCGATGCGCTTGGGTTTTCTTTCTGCAGACGATGTGGATATGTGCGGGTCCAGCATCACTCTCAGCTTTCAGTATCTGGGTGCCGGCAGCGTCCCGAGCTCCCACGGCCTGGCCTTTCTGCCCCTTGCGGATCGCATGGGAGACGCAGCGGCCCCCGCTTGGCAGGGGCTGCTCTTCATCGGGTCCAAGAGCGGCGACTCCCAACTCATCAAAGTCCACGACAAGACGAAGCGACACAGTCGCCGAGCGAGGCCTGAGCTGCGAGACGATGAGGGTGAGCAAGTAGGGTGCGGTGCATGCATTTGCATGTAGCAAGGTGGGTGGCATCCAAGGGAGGTCCTGAGCCACCAGGCAGGCACCTCTGCGTGTGTACGCCATACGTACGTATATCGCGGCTGGTCCTGTACGTAGGTGATGTGGTGATGGGTGGGGATGGCGGCGAGCCGACGGGAGACGATGGATACCTTCTGTCGGCAATAGCTTCGTACCCAAATCTAGGACCGATGGTGGGGAGGACACACACGGCACCCCCCCCCCCCCCCCCC